TATAAACGTTACCATGGATGCCACAACACAATCATTTTGACTAACGTGCATAAACGTTTATGCAACAGTTAAAATTTTGTCCTATAAGGTGTTGTATAACTATGCTAAAGAATATTTTAAACACCATATTTTAGAGCAAATATGTTGCAGAAAGCAAATTTGCATTCCACATAACATTAAGCCAGCATTTTGGTGTTCAGGCAACAACAATAGAGAGCTTTTATGGCTGAACGGTTCGTTTACCAAAAGCTTATAGGACTACATTGCTAGTGGGCTTTAAGTTAATTGGAAACGAACGTCAATTTTGGTCGCCAAATCATCATTTCGAACGAAGCCCATTTCCAGGTTACGTTAACAAGCAGAACTGGAGTTCTAAAAATCCATCTGTCATAAAAAAAACAATGCATCCAAATAGAGTAACTGTTTGGTGTGGCTTTTGGAGTGGTGGGATTATTGGTCCCTACTTTTTTCAAGATGAAGGTGGTAACAGCGTGACGGTAAACGTGGAACGCTATAGAGAGGTGTTGAGGAGATTTTTGTGACTGGTTCCAGCAGGATGGCGCAACATGCCACACCAGCCGTGAGACAATCGGCCTTTTACACACTAAGTTCGGTCATCGCGTTATCAGCCGATACAAGTGATGTTCTTAGGAAAAACATTCGTCGAGCTATTGATGAAATAGGCCCACAAACTATCAAAAATGTGCTTCAAAATTGAGTTAAGAAGATGGACTACTGCCAGGCCAGCCGCGGCAGCCACTTAACTGAACTTGTTTTTCATAAATTATCGGAAGCTGTATCCTTTTGAATAAAGTATCGAGTGTTATATATTATTGAAGAGTGTATTTTTAATACCAATTTAAAAAAGAAACTAACCGATGGCCCACCCTTTATTATCGAGATAATGTGATTGCGAGGATTAGATATCAAGATTCTATGGAATATACCCGACCTCTCATGCAATTCGCTCTTGGATATCGTTAACTTATCTTGTATTAATTTATTTTACTTACTCACATATATATAAGATTTGTGATTTGAATATGCCAGAATGAATATTCAGTAACTGACTGTTTTAATTATCTACTATCTTCAGGACGAAATTAGTAATCAATTTTTTTATCTTAATCTCTTATGGAACTATAATATTTGTGTATGAAAAATAATATGATATAAATAAATACATGCCCCTCCAAGCCACACAGGGCTCCATCTCTTTTTGTATGGTTGGTTTCGTAAAGACTATTTTGAGTAGCTTTCTGCTCTTCAGCTGCTATGTCACACTTGATTTGTTGAAATATACCTTATTTTTCATAAATCCCATTAAAAAGAAGTGTGCTGCTCAAAAGACATCGCCTAATAGAAGGATCAATGCCCTAAAGCATTCTTCGCAAAGTACCCAAGGTTTCTCTAAGTATGTAGCATGGTTGCTCTGTCCTGCTGGAGCCACATTTATTGTAGGTTGTGGAATTTTAGGAGCCACAAAACTTTGCTGCTTATTCGGTAATGTCGCCAGTGCCAGCAAGGGCCATACCTTTTTTATCTCGCAGTTGTATAATGACGTGAAATAATATGTTCATACTAACAAACGAAGCATTATGGAGTAGCTGAAGATCAATACTCGGAAAGCTAATCAGAATATTCCTCACAAAACTTGGAACATACCAAAAATGATGCCATTGCCATTGAAATAAATAAAATATTAAGACAAAAAGTTGGATCTATTCCAGTTTATTACAAAGATAGTCTGTAAGTTAAATATTGGCCTTCCTCTGAATACTTCGTAGCTCTTTAGACATAAGTAAGTCACAATTACTTGGTTTTTAACTCGCAAAGCTACAAATACTGTCAAATGATTATATGAACCATGGCATTTGAATATTTCATGGTAAACAGATTAATTGAGTCAAATTGTTCTTTGGAGTGAATATTCCGTCACTGCTTCCAATATAAAGCTAGATTCTCATCTCGATCAAACAGGGCTCAGTCATTCATTTACTATGTTAACGATGGACAGTTTATTACTAAATGTTGTGATATGCACTTCAACCCAACAAATATAACCAGAGATATAGACCCATATAGCCCTAGTAAAGTTAAAGTGACTGTCAGAGCATGGTAGACCTTTCTCATGACATCATAATAATTACATTACTCCAAGATGAGGGTATGGTGGTGCATCTATATCTCCATTCTCTTCTATTCCTGTGTACTGGGTGCTTCATATCCAGCTGTCACCATTGAACTAAGAATACGGCACTTGTAAATCTTCTAAATTCACAGTATGTCCGGAGATAGACGAAAAAAAAAACAAAATCGTTTTTATTTTTTCCTGAATTTATTTGAAGTTTATTTCAAAATCAATTTCACACTAACATTGCCGCTCTGTCTACACTACAAGGTGGCATAATTATAATTTCAATAATATCATCAACTTTATTTGTTCTTATGGACACCATATTGAACTTTTGCATGGTATAGGGCTTTCATCTGTTGTGCCTCCACATACTTGGGTATGAAGGTCAGTAGTTGCGCCATCTCCCAGAATTCCTCATCTCTCTTTTCCCTCGCACACTGGATCGGCTTCACCTGGTAATCAGCTGGTCCTGGCGTGTCTTGAGCATTGTACAATTTTCCGACTTGCTGACTAACAACTGCCTCCGTCATAGTAGTACCCACATTAGAGCTTCTAATGTGAGATAATTAAAGAATGTTTAATAATATTCAAACTCTCTGGAACTAAGAGAGTCACGTGGATCGGAATTTCTTCAGTTAACAGTTACTGGGCATGTGTAGACTATGGATAGATGACGGTCAGTGCGTTATCACCGCACCGTTTTAAGAAGTAGCGCACCACCAGTTTATTTAAGCTGCGTGCAAACCTAAGCTTTTAACTCCAATGACAATCATTGTACCATGATGCTACCTAGTGGAGCTATAATCTCTTTTTTGTAAATGAAAAAGTGTGGCGCCATCTCTTAGCACAGAGGGATCTTACGCACGAGTTAGCAAAGTCCCGTCGTCAGTTATGCACGGTGTAGTCTTATAAAAACCCTAGCGGATGTAGTAGGTACTTTCTCAAACTTCAAACGTGTTTCTTTTTAATCTGAAGCAGACGCGGGCAGAGGTTAGATATTGCAATACCGCGATTATTATTAAAAACTAAAAATTATGTTGGTAGTCAGAGTTTTCAACTGTCTTAGACTAGTAGAACTGAGGAGACTCTTTCTGCACATTCTTGATGTTCTGGAAACAAATAAGTGACTATACCGGTAGTTCTTGACAGGCATATCGGTAAAAAAAGTACTACATTCTCAGACAATGACAAGCTTCAGGTGCTCTGTCTGATTAAAATTCAGTATAAGTTATCCTTCCTTCTTTTGTTTGTCTCGTTATTAAAAGTCTTTCAAGGCTTGGTGCAATCTTAGACGTTGCTCTTCACTGAAATCACCGCTGTTTTCAGGGAATTGATTTGGATGTGAATCAAGAAATTCATTAAACTACCCAAATTTTAGAAGATCCTGCTTCAGTATAAAATATAAATGGTGAATGTGCATTTTGCACCATACCACATCCACCAAAATATAGAATCTTGATTTAAATTTTTCTAAAATTCCTCCATCAACCCCCCAATTCTCAGAAACTTCAGACTCATGTATAGCGAGAAAAACACATGGGAAAATACACAATCGGACTTTTGTGGACCTGTGTGTGAACGAAAATATGGTCCTTTTTTCTGTACCTTTCTAACCACCCTGGGCATAGATATTAAAAATCAAGTATGTTATAAAACTGTGAATGTGTTCGCTAATACCTCACATACGGCCGATTCTTTTTCAAAATTTGACTCAACCTGTAACAATTTTATGCTTTTCGGTTCTCCGTATTCAATTTTGTTAATTCTCAAGCGGACATGCCTCGCCATCTGGTGACGACGTATCGCACTATGAATCAACTTGATCTGAAAGACTGGCAGGATCTGCGAAAAGCTTCGTAGCGGCTTGCACGCTGATATAACAGATGTCACCTTCTTTAACTGGGGCTTCCCTAATGCTCGTAGAAAAGCTTCTAATTCGATATCAAGTCGCGTCAAGTAGATTGACTCTATACTTTCCAAACAGTTCTGGACTAATGGGCTTTAAATATTATGTAGCATGAATAGATACCTAAGTCGACTTTTATACACTCTGGTGTCTTTATTATTCGATGAATATGAAAATCTATGTATCTTGATATACGGCCGTAGAGTTTAGAATGAGTAGGGGAACGGAGGCTATTGCCGTACACATAACTATAAAATGTCCTTGTTACTCAAGTATTCATCAAAAAAGATAATTATCGATTTGAATTTGCTAATAATTAGGCCTATTATATATATCTATGCTTAACGACAGAAAATAAAAGTCACAATTATACCAGATAGAGCACTCCAATTGAAAGCAGTCTTTGTACGGCATTAACCGAATCAAGCGGGTAACGCCGTACATGTAGCCGTCTAATTTCGTACACACATCCTCGTATATGCCATCCGTTTCATTAGTGTATTAGCGTAAAAAAACTGAAAATCATAATTTAACAGAGATATATTTAACTCAAAATAAACGGTAATGAACTTCTAACATAAATCATAAACGTTTTCCTGTCTTTACATACAAAATCCACAAAAATAATTAACTGCAGAATCATATCCGGAACATAAAGCGTGCGACCAGCTACCACAGCTGACGCACCTGTACCACAATTCGTTATCCTTCCCGAAATCACCACAAATAACGCATAGTTCCTCGACATCTGTCTCACCTCCCCTTCCTTCAGAAAAATCATCATCTAACTCTTCTTCATCATCACATAGAACATGTAGATCTTCATCAGAAGATGATGAACTCTCCTTTATCATTATTTGTTTTTTAAAACTTTTTTTATTTTTCCTCTTTTTAAGTTTTTTTGTCATAGTCTCAGAGTGTTCCTCTACTTTTTTCTTTTTGGCGACTCGTTTTTCCTCAATTTTTTCTAAAACAGATTTCATAGGCGTCGAAGTAAGTAGGTAATTTTGATTGTTGTTTGGTCCGTTTACCTATACCTTTCCCTTTTGAAATGTGTTTCTTTTCAGGAGCTGGTGATATTTCACTAAAAGGTATTACGTGTTCAGGTGTTTTATTTCCCACAGGAGTCACAAAAAGTTGTCGTTTGGCATGCTCAATTTCTGTCTGAGTTGCAGATTTTGACGGAAGTGAATTATGAGCTATCTCTGGTTCTGGATTTTCAAAAAGTAACGAATTTTGAATTCCTGATGTTGAAGGGCGTGAGTCATCAGCGGATTCATTTGGTTCTGTATTTGTAGGTACTAAGTATGACCTCTCATTAAAATCCATCGGAATGTCTAGTAAAGCAGATGATGCTTCCACATTTTCAGACTCCATCCTTATATCTACAATAGCCTGTTCTGCGGGAATCCTGTCAGAAGCGTTATCATTTCCTTCTTGTATCAATTGACTGAAAACGTTTGGATTGAAGGGCCAAATGCCTGATGCTCGGAAATCACTAAGTGCTTTTTCTGCATTAGCTACACTCAAATACGCTTGAGTGAACAGTGGAATCAATTGCAGTGGCGTTAGTTTCTCATATTGATGGAGTTTCATATAGGCATCACATTCTTTATGTAAAGCTGTTTTCAAGGGACTGTAACCTGTAATATCCAGGGGTTGAGTCCTGTGCGACGTATGAGGCGGTATTGTCAACATAATAATGCCATTTTGACGACAAAAATCGTAAATTCTCACAGAAATATGACTACTGTGATTATCTAGGATTAATAATACCGGGTCTTCCAATGAGGGTTTTGTATGTTCCGCAAAATGCACTAGCCATGCATAGAACAATTCTTCAGTCATCCACCCTGACTTATTACATCTATAACTTGAACCGTTTGGACCTCCTTGCTCTAGTGACGGATGCATTCTCAACCGAGGATATATAATAAGTGGTGGAACATACTGGCCAGTTGCGCTAATGCAGCAACAAATAGTAATATTCTTCCCACGCTCCCAACTTGTGGCAGATCCTACTTGCTTAATCCCTTTAGGAGCAAGTATTTTACCTGGTTTGTGAACAGTGTTGATGCCTGTTTCATCAACATTAAATATTCTATGAGGACGAAATCTATATTTGTCGTATGTTGATGACAGATTATCAAAGAATATCTGTACCTCTGTGGCATTAAAGGCAAGAATTCTATTTACGCTGGTAGGTTCCGGGCGTCTGATGCTTATTTCAGGATTCCTTTTTAAAAACCCATACATCCAATCTTTACCAGCTTCTTTTTTATCTTTATTGAAAGGATTTTTAATTTTGTTAGACTCCGCATATGTAAAAACTGCTGCTTTCAATGATTGTGGTGTCAATCCATAAAACATACTTGCCAGAAGTAATATTTGATCTCTAATTTCTGTCTCCTGTTCACGAGAGAAAACGGGTTTTCTTCCCATGCGAAATGAAAGATCATAGCTGTCCCTTTTTGAGTAATCAGATAATGTCATAACAGGAATACCATACAAAGCAGCTGTCGGCCTCAACTTTGCTCCACCACGAATGTCCCTTATTGCACTTTTCATTTTTCTGGGCGACCAAGAGCACTTCTTTTTAGGCTCCATCTGTAAATAAAGTTTTTATTTCCTAATATCAAAGACCTGAGGGTCAAAATGATACAATTATGTACTGGGACAATTTCAAAAACAATTTTAATATTTTTCGTGAACTGATTATTTCGATGCGGCAAATACCGTACACGTGTACGCACTTTGCCGACATACTATCCTCCATGTTTAAGCAGAATCATGCGAAAGCGGATGATAGTATTACAACGAAAACAACTTATTCCATTAAAAAACAATATTGTTCAACAATTTTAACAATAAAAACAACACGTATACACATATTAAAGTACTTACAATTAAGTTTTCGAAGGTAAAATATTATATCCACGATCGCAAAAACACAGATCATGCTCTCGCCGCCATGTTTGAACTCAGAATGGCGCGAACGGTTGTTGTGACAGTTAACCCAACAAACCCGACGTGTGCAACAAGGAACGGTAGCTTTCTGACGTTTCATTCCTTTCAAACTTGACTGTACGAAATTAGACGCCGTACGGTAATACCCTCCGTTCCCCTATCAGTGAAAAACAGTATCCTTGATTAGGAAAAAATAAAATTAAAACTTCCATACATTCTGGTATCTCTATTGGCCGTCAAAACAGAAATTAAGAATACTTTCTACGATATGAGAAGTAAAAGGACAACATATCACGACCTCTGTGCTTGATCTGTCTACTTATTTCATATGGCGTTGATGACGTCACCGCTAAAAACGGCATAGCAGCATCGTTATTAGTTATACTAAGTGACATATAAATCCGAACACCCAGTTTAAATGGTTTTATTTTAATAAAAGTTGGTGAATGTATACTAAGTGATATATAAATCCGAACACCCAGTTTAAATGGATTTATTTTAATAAAATTTTGTATAAGTACTTAATGAAGCATAATAAGTAAATGATAAAAATTTCAAAATGATTCCACTGCTTTAAAGCCCTTTGACCTTTAATAATGTGTGGATGCACCCTGATGTGCTACGCATTCTCCAACGCGCCTAGGCATGCTTCTGATCAGGTGGTTAATGCCCTCCTGTGGTATCTCATTCCAGGCAACCACCAACTCCTCTCGAAGTGCTTCTAGAGTCTGAGGAGGACGTTGCAAATTGAGCAATCTCCTACTCATCATATCCCACACGTGCTCAATTGGGGATAAGTCGGGAGATCTTGGTGGCCATGGTAACAATGTGACATCATTATGTTGAAAGAAGTCTATTGTGACTCTTGCAACATGTGGTCGGGCATTATCTTGTTGGAAAGTTGGATCTGCCAGGGTGTCAAGATAGGGTAAAAGATGGGGTTCTAGAACTTCGTGGATATAACGCTGCGCGTTCATGTTACCTCTGATGAAGATTAAAGGTGACCTGGAACCATAAGCTATAGCACCCCAAACCATAACTCCAACACTGTGATGAACATGTCTTTCAACAAAAAACTGTGGATTCCTCCTTTCACCACCTCGCCTTCTAACCCTGGCACGACCATCGTGCATGCCTAAACAAAATCGAGACTCGTCACTAAAGACAATACTGTTCCATTCCTGATCCCAGAGTGACCGTTGTCTGCACCACTCAAGGCGATTACGTCGGTGTTCTCGAGTTAAAGGGAGGACCCAGTGTGGCCGGTATGAAAACAAGCCAAAACTTCTCATTCGTCGGTAAACACTTCGCATGCCAATAGGTCTTCCGTGTTCTGCAAACCATTCATTTGCAATGGACCTGGTAGTAGAGAAACGGTCCCTTAAGGCCAATAATCTTAGGCGGCGATCTTCACGGTCTGTTGTTCTACGGCGGCGTCCAGTGCCCCTTGCTCTTTGCGTACGGCCTTCTCGAAGCCATGCCTGACAACACCTAACCACAGTGTCTACACTTCTTTGCACTCTAACTGCAATTGCCCGAAAAGAATGTCCAGCTTCCCGAAGTCCCACTATACGGCCCCTATCAAACTCACTAAGTTGACGAAATCGTACAGGTCTCCGTACTCTAGGCATCGTAACCGATCGTAAAGGATGTCAAGAACCAAAATCCGCCAACGTTGATTCTTTACTGCGGCTGAAATATTCATTTTTGGAGCGTTAGTGAATTAAAAAAAAGCAGTTTAAAAATCGGAATGTCCAACTGATAAGGCTGAAAATTTTTTCACTTGTTATTTACAGTAAGATAAATACATTCACCAACTTTTATTAAAATAAAACCATTTAAACTGGGTGTTCGGATTTATATGTCACTTAGTATATTTATCTTACTGTAAATAAGAAGTGAAAAATTTTTCAGCCTTATAAGTTGGACATTCCGGTTTTTATACGGTTTTTTTTCAATGCACTAACGCTCTAAAGATGAATATTTCAGCCGCAGTAAAGAATCAGCGTTGGCGGATTTTGGTTCTTGACATCCTTTACGATCGGTTACGATGCCTAGAGTACGGAGACCTGTACGATTTCGTCAACTTAGTGAGTTTGATAGGGTCCGTATAGTGGGACTTCGGGAAGCTGGACTTTCTTTTCGGGCAATTGCAGTTAGAGTGTAAAGAAGTGTAGACACTGTGGTTAGGTGTTGTCAGGCATGGCTTCGAGAAGGCCGTACGCAAAGAGCAAGGGGCACTGGTCGCCGCCGTAGAACAACAAACCGTGAAGATCGCCTCCTAAGATTAGTGGCCTTAAGGGACGGTTTCTCTACTACCAGGTCCATTGCAAATGAATGGTTTGCAGAACACGGAAGACCTATTGGCATGCGAAGTGTTTACCGACGAATGAGAAGTTTTGGCTTGTTTTCCTCCCTTTAACTCGAGAACACCGACGTAATCGCCTTGAGTGGTGCAGACAACGGTCACTCTGGGATCAGGAATGGAACAGTATTGTCTTTAGTGACGAGTCTCGATTTTGTTTAAGCATGCACAATGGTCGTGCCAGGGTTAGAAGGCGACGTGGTGAAAGGAGGAATCCACAGTTTTTTGTTGAAAGGCATGTTGATCACAATGTTGGAGTTATGGTGGGGTGCTATAGCTTATGGTTCCAGGTCACCTTTAATCTTCATCAGAGGTAACATGAACGCGCAGCGTTATATCCACGAAGTTCTAGAACCCCATCTTTTACCCTATCTTGACACCCTGGCAGATCCAACTTTCCAACAAGATAATGCCCGACCACATGTTGCAAGAGTCACAATAGACTTCTTTCAACATAATGATGTCACATTGTTACCATGGCCACCAAGATCTCCCGACTTATCCCCAATTGAGCACGTGTGGGATATGATGGGTAGGAGATTGCTCAATTTGCAACGTCCTCCTCAGACTCTAGAAGCACTTTGAGAGGAGTTGGTGGTTGCCTGGAATGAGATACCACAGGAGGACATTGACCACCTGATCAGAAGCATGCCTAGGCTCGTTGGAGAATGCGTAGCATATCAGGGTGCATCCACATATTATTAAAGGTCAAAGGGCTTTAAAGCAGTGCAATCATTTTGAAATTTTTATCATTTACTTATTATGCTTCATTAAGTACTTATACAAAATTTTATTAAAATAAAACCATTTAAACGGGGTGTTCGGATTTATATGTCACTTAGTATATTTATGAAGATATCTTAATCCTGCAAGGTAGGAAAGAATGAAGCAACTTGTCCAAATTCAACTTCTATTCCCTTTACTAATATTATTTTCCAAGCACTATTACTATGGGACGCTCCATAAAAAGCCCTTCTAAATCGCAACAAAAGACTGAAACTAACAAATTCAGTCGTTTGTAAGGTTCCTCATCATCTCTTCATTGAGCTTATTCTTGATCGGTATTCTTGGAGACAGGCTCAGCATGCTGGCCCACTGTCCCTCACATAGCTGATAGAAGCTCATATCTTTAAGAAGCGATCCCCCAAGATCTCCAGGTCCCCTGCATGTTGGTTGAGGGTCCCATAGTTTTCCTCTGTTGGTATCTACCCATCTGAAATAAATAACTCCTAAGAAATGCGTCAAATGGGTTGGCTGTGCAGTACAACGCTTAAAGGCTACGCTCAATTCATAAGATTTCCAAGTACAATTAGTTGAACAAATTTTAAATCTACCAGTTTTTGGATATTTCGTGGAGCGTTAGCAAAACTAACATCATACATCGGTCAGAAGTATACTTACATAGCTAAGTATAGGATATTGCAATCGCAGTGCCATGGATTTTTCGCCAACTTGATGGAGACTAATTCAGTAAAAAAGTCCAAGCAATTTGCTGGCAGATACTGGAATTTGTTACTATCTAAGTGCCTGAAAAAGATAATAATAAGTAAAACTAGTAATTAGGAACATTCAGTATCTTTGGAAAGCGCAAAATTCGTATACCTTTAACAAATTCTACTAGCGAGCTGGTCAAGAAAATTTTTCGAACCAATAGGTGAATTATTAAGAGGTACCTTCTTCAAAAGCAGGCAGAATAAGAAGAGTCAACTGTCCCCCATGGTTAGTAGTAGTAGTAGAAAGATTTATTTAGCACATTTGGCTACATAAACAGAACAATTGTAAACAACTTAGAACTAGTAAATTCAAGCCATATGGTGTATAATGTAAATGCTGGGCAACCTATAATTGTAGATTTAACAAGTGATTTCTCAATTTTACTTTAAATTTTGTCAAAGTTTTCTGGTCTTTTATCTCCGAGTATAATTTATTATATTCAATCAACCCTTGATGGAATACAGATTTGTAGCATATGTTATACTTTTTGGTCATTAAATGGAAGTCATCTTTATTTCTGGTATTATGTAAATGATGGTCGACATTTGATGATGTTAAATTAGTTAGACTTGATGGAAATATATTATTTTTTACTTTATAAATGAATATCATTACAAGATATTTGATAAAATTTTTTACATTGAGCCATTTTAATTTGCTAAGCATTTGCCTAATTGGAGTATATTTATCTTTATTTAGTATTACTCTCATGCACTTATTTTGTAAAATTTGCAGTCTTTCAAAAATGGAATTATTTGCTAAATATAGAATAGTCGAACAGTACAAGAAATTTGGAAGAATGATGGTATTATAGATAATTTTTCTGCTATATGAACTCAGACATCCAGAAACTCTCGATAAATATCCCACTTTACTACTAATCTTATTTATAACTTTTTCATAATGAATATCAAAAATTAATCGAGAGTCAACAAAAACCCCCAGGGTATTTAATTTTTTTTACGAATTCAATATCTTCACCATCAATATTCAGTTGAACATTTGTACATTGTTTTTTTCCGATTAACAAGGCTTTCGTTTTACTTGCATTTAATTTTAGTCTGTTAGATGCTAACCATTTTGAGACAAGCTTCAAGTCTTCATTTATATAAGAGATACCAGACTGAATATTTTTAGTACTTATATAAATCATAGTGTCATCGGCGAAAATTTGAATTTTGCATTTTTTGACTATGGCAGGTAAATCATTTATGTATAAAATAAAAAGAAGTGGTCCCAGGATACTGTCCTGTGGAACACCCAACGTATTTTTAATTTTTGATGAAATAGTGTCATTAACTTTTGTAACTTGCATCCTTTGAGACAAATAATTTCTAAACCAATCTAAAACACTTCCTGTTATACCATATCGTTTCAAATGCCCTCTTCAAATCCAAAAATACTGCTATGACAACTTCTTCTGAGTCTATGGCTCTTCTCCAATTCTCAGTTACCAACTGGAAAGCTGTTTCCGTGGAATATTTTTTTCGAAAGCCTGCTTGCGCCTCCACTAAAATTTTGTTTTCTTCTATAAACTGCATTAATTGGTCATGCACTATGGACTCTAATAATTTTTCAATGTCTGGTAACACACTTACTGGTCTCATATCGCTGCATCTTTTAGAATTTTTTATTTTGGGAACTGGTGTTATTGTAGAGCATTTCAAATTTTCAGGGAAAGAACTGCTTCTCAGTGAACAATTGATCCAATTTAATACAGGATATCCCAAAATTTCGAAACAGTTTTTCAGCACGTTTTTAGTAGTCATTTCGGCACAGTTGTTATTTGATTTTAAACTGTTTACTTTTTTTCTTAGATAATTCAATGATACGCTGTGAAAGTTTGAAAGTGTATGCAACATTTCCCACTGGAAACTGATTTTCATATAGTCAGGTGCAGCATTGGCAGTACCTACAATATCAACAATACTTTTCACAAAATATTCATTTAGTTTGTTTGCAATCACCAAAGAATTTGTTTCAGTACCGTTTTCGAATTGAACTTGATTTACACCATCATGCGGCTTCGAATTCAGTCTTCAGTCTTTTTAAAGTCTTCCAAATCTTTACACTGTCGCACTTGTTATTATCGATTTGTTTATCGTAGAATTTTCTTTTTTATTCTCTAATTACATATACACATTTATTCCTAAGAGTTTTATATACCTCCCAATCATCATTTGATTTTGTGTATATACATTTATTGTATTGTTTGTCTCTCAAATTTTGAGCTGCCTTAATATTCTTGTTATACCAGGGTGTATTTTTTGTCGAGCAAATCACTTTTTTATCAGTTGCAAGATCTAAACAAGTTTTTATATTTCCTATTATGTTGTCATATATTTTTTCCATATTCTCACCAAAATTCCAATAGCAGCCAGCAAGTTCTCGTTCAAGTTTTTCGTACTTAATAGTATTTACGATTTTCTTAATTTTTGTATCAGAAAAATGCCCTGCCAAGGGCAGCATTGTCCAACTGTGATCGCTAACTTTAGGTGTATGTACAGCTTTAATCCCTGCACATTCGAAATTTACAATAACAAGATCTAATAAAGTCTCTGATAATGATGTTATTCTGGTACTGTCTTCAATTTTTTGCTTGAACCCATAGTTGTTTATGGTTTCTTTCAATTTTCTTGTTTTCATGCTTTTACCATAATAATTTAAATTAAAATCACCTAAAAGTATTATATTGTTTCTAAAATTCCACATTTCTTCGCATTTTTCTTCAAAAAACGTTAAAAATGTATCTGCATCACTGTTTGGTGAACGGTAAAAAGTACAAAGATCATAACGTTTCCCAAATAATTTGAACTGTATATGTGCATACCAGTATGCATAGTCTAAAGTGGTACAATCGAATAATGTGATCTGTATTTTGTGATAAACATAAATCACTACACCTCCAGTATGTCTGGAGTTGGAGTTGCATCTGTAGGTTTTATAATTAGTAATTTGTAATTCACCATCAGTGATGTCTTCTGTAGCATGTGTTTCGATAAGACATAATACAAGTGGTTTTCTCCATCTTAAAAACTGTTGAACTTCATCTATATTATTCAGGACTCCTTGTATGTTTAAATGGTATATTGAGTTATATTCATCACTTACAGATTTACCCACGTCTTGCAAATCTGAGCTTAGTAGTTGCTATTCATTTGCATAACTAATTTTTTCCCTCTCACGTTCAATTTTCCTTTTATATATTTCACAATTTTTGTCAAATGGTCCATGATTAATAGGTAATCCTAGATTAAAATCCTGGTTTGCACTTTTACAATTTGGACAGCATTTGTACATTTCACTGGTATTACAGTTTTCTGTTGAATGTCCTTCTAATCCACAAGTAAGACATCTTCCTGATTTTGTGCAGTATTTAGCTGTGTGGTTAAATCCGGTACATTTATAGCATCGCAAAACATTGATGTACTCGAAAACAGAGCAAACAGACATGTCGATAAAAATAAAACCCTGATTCATAACACACTTAAAAGTCACATCATCCACTTCTAAAATTGCTTGATATTTAGTTTTCATTTTCTTGACTGTAATTACTCTCATATGTGAATTTTCTTGAAAAGATTCATTTTGTGATTTTATAGTATTTATTAGCTCGTCTTCTGCATATTCTTGACAAAATCCAATAACTTTGATTTGTGGTTTTTTACTTATCTCTGAAGTTTTCACTGTATATGTTTCTGCCATTTTTGATTTTATTTCATTATGTAGCTTCGCGTTATCATCTTTTGTTTTACATTGGATTTTCACCCCACCATCTTTCAATTCATAAACTTTTTCAATAGCAATTTTCAAACTGGTAGGATTCACAAATTTTGCGATGTCTTTCTTTGTGTTATTGTCTAGTGAATCAAACCGCACTTGTTTAAAATTCTTTTTCATTGTATACGTTTCTTCCAAACGGTGACCTTCTTCAGTATAATTAATAATTGACACCATTGTGACTGTTGTGATTTGCCAGATTAACATGGGGATTTATATTTTTTCTGTTCATTCTCTCAGTTTTGATTTCTCATCAATAAAAATATTAATCAGTAGCTATCTGATTTTTTGCACATCCTCACATTGCACTTATACCATATGAACTTACAGCTTTTTCAGATTAGGGGTAAACGAGAATATCCGAGGATGGATACTCTTCAGGATATTATTATTGATAAGCAAGGAAGTTAGTCCCACCAGACCGTTAAACGTTTTTTCCTCAAGTTCTTCCAGATTATTAGAGAATAAGAACAGCTTCTCCAAGTTTTTGTTTTCTATAAATGCATTTTGTGGAATATCTGCAATAAAGTTGATTGCTAGATGTAATTCCACCATATTCGAAAGCTTTCTAAAATCATTCAATCCGATCTGAAACAAGAAATATATGAATTATAAAATATAAACTTGCATTAGGTTCAAAAAATAACGTTCGTCTTATAAAAGTAAGTATAAAAAAATAATTAATAAATGCGACTAGTGGGTTTCAATTAGATTCTCAAGAAATCTATTTTCGGCAGACTAATTTTATCATTTTTACCTGAACTATCTTGTTATTGGTCAAATGTAATGTTTTCAAATTCTGGAGCTTATCGAACACATTTTCTGGAATATGCGATATCAAATTTTTCCTTAAATTCAGGGTTTCTAGGCTTATCAGATTATCAAAGACACCTACAACATATAAGTACAGTTTTACCTTTTGAACTTCAACAGTATAGTCATAGCAGCACCAAAAACAACGTATAATAGATAGTCTTAAGCTCCAAAATATCATTTGTTAGTCATATCGCCATTGACTAACGTATTCCACTAGGAGATACGAAGAACAAACCGTTTTTTCTGTTTTTGTCATTTACCATGATGCATCAACTACCAATAGAAAGTGTCCACGTACACATTTCAAAAAGATGATGTCAAGTATGTCGACCCTGGACTTCTCACGCAATGCTCTGTCATTATATTCGGCACAAGAGAACAAAAGGTACAAACAAGGAATTAAATGGGTCATGTTATTCAAACAGGCTAATACAATTAATTAGTTCAGAGTCTAACAATGCGATCTAGCCTACCTCTCTACCGACAGTACCCACCAGTCAGCAGTGGGGTCACCCAGCACAGGGTTACATACATGAGTAGACGTGTTAACATTTTATTCATTATCATTCGGTAATCCCTCAGCTTGTGATGGGGATAGGTGTCGCTAAGTTATCGGACACGCGTATACAAAAAACACACTTCATTCATCATTCAAGTTTTAAGGGCAAATACAAGGTGTGCCCAAAAAGTATCGAACCTTAAAAGTTCCCGTGTAAACCTATGAAGCGCAGGAGATGTGGAGGGGACATGCGTAGCCCGGTTTTTTTTCCGCCCGCAGATAGCGTCAGTTGCTGGTAGTCGGTCTACGTGTGAAGGCGTGTAGACAGCAGTCGTCGGATTTCAGTGTTCGCAAGATGACAGAAAAACTTGAGCAGAGATTCTTAGCCAAACACAACATCCCTGTGGTTTCTCAGGCTCCCTACTCACCCGACATGGCCCCGTGAGACTTTTGGAAAATGTACGAAATATGCCTAATAGGTGCGTCGAATTACCCGGGTTGAAAACTCATAAATTGCTAGCCCACAAAAATTGACCTATACCCACTCCCACCATCTATGACATAGACGCCATCTTTGTTTTCTGTCACCGACATGTCATTTTGTTAGTTGAATGTTTACTATTGATCGCTATGGAGTCGTATTCGATTGAAGACCGCATTAAAGTTATTCAAGAGCACTATAAAAATGGTGCAAAAATAAAACACACGTTTCGCGCGCTTCGTGAACATTTCGGTCGCAACAATCGCCCAAACGAAACAACCATCGGTCGTCTGGTGCGTAAATTCGAGGCTACAGGTTCTGTGGCAAATCTTCCAGGCTCTGGCCGGCCAAGGAGCGTTCGCACACCGGAAAATGTTGCTGTTTTGAAGGAGAGTGTGAGAGACGATCCGAAACAATCAACAACGCGTCGATCCCATGAATTGGGCGTTCGAGAACCAGTTTGCTCCGCATTCTCCGCAAGGATTTGAATGTACGCGCCTACAAGATCCAATTGACGCAAGAGCTGCGTCGGGCCGACCATTTTTCGCGCCGAACGTTCGCAGATTGGCTCCTTGAACACCGCCAAATTGATGCCAATTTTTCACCAAAAATCATGTTTCAGCGACGAAGCGCATTTCACTTTGAATGGACGGTAAACAAGCAAAACTGCCGCATCTGGGCGAACGAAAATCTCCGTGAGTATCAAGAGCAGCCGATGCATCCTCAAAAAGTGACTGTGTGATGTGCATTGTGGTCAAAAGGCATCATCGGACTTACTTTTTCGAAAATGCGGCCGGGGACGCCGTTACCGTCAATTCTGAGCGATATCACGTCATGATAGAGGACTATTTTTTGCCGCAACTTGAAGGAATGGATATGGACGATATTTATTTCCAACAAGACGGTGCAACATGCCACACAACCAACGTCAATATCCATAGATTGCAGTCCTTCTTCGGTGATCGCGTGTTTTCGCGCAGAGGAAATGTGCCATGGCCACCAAGATCGTACGATTTGACTCCCTTGGACTTCTTTTTATGAGGATATTTGAAAAGCAAAGTCTACGTCAACAAACCAGCCACCCTCCAAGAACTCAAAAACAACATCATTGCCGAGATAAATGCCATAGAACCGACCATGTTGCAAAATGTCATTGAAAATTTCGACCATCGCGTGGACGTCTGTAAATCCAGTCGTGGTGAACATTTGAGCGATATTATTTTTCATACATAAATAGTATAAATGAACCTTCAAAATAAAGTACCCAACTTGATTTGAATATCAATTTTTCTTGTTTATGCGTTTACTTTCCTGCGTCCGATTTGGACAACCCCATAGTTACCGAAAATGATCAGGATCCCTCGATTTTTATTGCCTTTTTCTACGCCGCCACTGGAGCGATTTTCAAAAACTGCAAAACATTTTTTGTCCTTGGCGTGCGGTTAGTCCGGTGTGAAAATTTCACCAATATCCAAGCGGTACTTCCCAAGTTATAGCCAGGCCAAGGATCAGCGTACAGACAAGCAGACAGACTGACGGAAATAAGTGACATAGTTTTTCGGGCCCTAGATGTCATATAACATCCCAAAAAAATATATATCATTTTCGAGTTTTTTGGCAAATACAATACGTCCACGCCAGCGACGTAGGAAATAAACTAATTTGGGTTTACGATTTTGCAATGCTTCATGGATTTCCGAACGACGTTATTGAAAAATTGGGCAGCAGTGTAAATGAAAACATTGACTAAACTCAATAAAGAATGTGAACCATTATTCCTTACGCATTTCCCGCCTTTGTTCCGTAGTTCTGTAGTGGTAGTCAGTTTATTAGAAAAACGTGATTCGGTTTCAGATACGGCAATTCAAAATATTTCAAAATTAACAAATTTATTAACCAAACACCCACTTTACATTTTCAAGTACATTGCAAACGATACATAAGGGTTGTCCAATAGGGACGCAGGTAAGTAAGCGTCAATTTGACATAGACGCCATCTTTGTTTTCTGTCACCGACATGTCATTTTGGTAGTTGAATGTTTACCATTGATCGCTATGGAGTCGTATTCGATTGAAGACCGCATTAAAGTTATTCAAGAGCACTACAAAAATGGTGCAAAAATAAAAAACACGTTTCGCGCGCTTCGTGAACATTTCGGTCGCAACAATCGCCCAAACGAAACAACCATCGGTCGTCTGGTGCGTAAATTCGAGGCTACAGGTTCTGTGGCAAATCTGCCAGGCTCTGGCCGGCCAAGGAGCGTTCGCACACCGGAAAATATTGCTGTTGTGAAGGAGAGTGTGAGAGACGATCCGAAACAATCAACAACGCGTCGATCCCAAGAATTGGGCGTTCGAGAACCAGTTTGCTCCGCATTCTCCGCAAGGATTTGAATGTACGCGCCTACAAGATCCAATTGACGCAAGAGCTGCGTCGGGCCGACCATTTTTCGCGCCGAACGTTCTCAGATTGGCTCCTTGAACACCGCCAAATTGATGCCAATTTTTCACCAAAAATCATGTTCAGCGACGAAGCGCATTTCACTTTGAATGGACGGTAAACAAGCAAAACTGCCGCATCTGGGCGAACGAAAATCCCCGTGAGTATCAAGAGCAGCCGATGCATCCTCAAAAAGTGACTGTGTGATGTGCATTGTGGTCAAAAGGCATCATCGGACTTACTTTTTCGAAAATGCGGCCGGGGACGCCGTTACCGTCAATTCTGAGCGATATCACGTCATGATAGAGGACTATTTTTTGCCGCAACTTGAAGGAATGGATATGGACGATGTTTATTTCCAACAAGACGGTGCAACATGCCACACAACCAACGTCAATATCCATAGATTGCAGTCCTTCTTCGGTGATCGCGCGTTTTCGCGCAGAGGAAATGTGCCATGGCCACCAAGATCGTGCGATTTGACTCCCTTGGACTTCTTTTTATGGGGATATTTGAAAAGCAAAGTCTACGTCAACAAACCAGCCACCCTCCAAGAACTCAAAAACAACATCATTGCCAAGATAAATGCCATAGAACCGACCATGTTGCAAAATGTCATTGAAAATTTCGACCATCGCGTGGACGTCTGTAAATCCAGTCGTGGTGAACATTTGAGCGATATTATTTTTCATACATAAATAGTATAAATGAACCTTCAAAATAAAGTACCCAACTTGATTTGAATATCAATTTTTCTTGTTTATGCGTTTACTTTCCTGCGTCCGATTTGGACAACCCCATAGTTACCGAAAATGATCAGGATCCTTCGATTTTTATTGCCTTTTTCTCCGCCGCCACTGGAGCGATTTTCAAAAACTGCAAAACATTTTTTGTCCTTGGCGTACGGTTAGTCCGGTGTGAAAATTTCATCAATATCCAAGCGGTACTTCCCAAGTTATAGCCAGGCCAAGGATCAGCGTACAGACAAGCAGACAGACTGACGGAAATAAGTGACATAGTTTTTCGGGCCCTAGATGTCATATAACATCCCAAAAAAATATATATCATTTTCGAGTTTTTTGGCAAATACAATACGTCCACGCCAGTGACGTAGGAAATAAACTAATTTGGGTTTACGATTTTGCAATGCTTCATGGATTTCCGAACGACTTTATTGAAAAATTGGGCAGCAGTGTAAATGAAAACATTGACTAAACTCAATAAAGAATGTGAACCATTATTCCTTACGCATTTCCCGCCCTTGTTTCGTAGTTCTGTAGTGGTAGTCAGTTTATAAGAAAAACGTGATTCGGTTTCAGATACGGCAATTCAAAATATTTCAAAATTAACAAATTTATTTACCAAACATCCACTTTACATTTTCAAGAACATTGCAAACGATACATATAATGAGTATATTAATATCTTAAAAAAGGCATTTGAAAGAAACAGAATTACGCACTTGCTCATTATAATATGTGAACTTGTGAACTACTGTACATTTTCACGACCTCCCTGATTGTCTCGTTTGTATATTTGTGTTACTTTGTCCGAAGTTTCGAAAAGTTATCGGAAAAGTTAATCGTATATCCGTAATTAAACTTCATATTTTTGCAGAATGTGGATTTGCGTAGTTGCCATATTTTCTCAGTAAGTCCTGAAAAATGCTACACGGGACTGTGAAATCGCTTTTTGTACCGTAATACGAAACAAGGACGGAAAATGCATTAAATATAACGATTTAATTAAGATAATTCATAAAAATAACACAACAAAGGAGATGTTCTTCATTATTTAAGAAGCGATGGTTTGTGGCATCATTTTGGATTTTCTTAAGATTATACAGGGTGTTTCAGTTTGTTGTTGCATAACTTTGAGATTCGATAGAACTTTTAAAATCAATGCATAAAGTCTATATAAACATGGGTCGAAAAATGCGTGGCTTCCGAAATACAGGGTGTTTAAATTTACTTTCTAAAATAGTTTTTTTTTAAATATTTCGAACAATACTTGATGTATAATAGTGAAAATTGGTATACAAGGGATTTTTGGTACGACAACACGAACCATGGGCATAGTTTTACTGTAGCCGCTAGAGGGCGCTCTGTACCTGTAGTGAATTAAAATGACCGAAAAACTTTTCTTAGTGCAATTTTTTGCTTTTTGAATAAAAAAACTGATTCTTCGCACTTTTCAACATAAAAATCTCTGCAGTGAGTTTTCGTTATAGTTAGCCGTTTTTGATATATTTCGATTTTTAAGGTTCGATGCATTTTTAATTATTCATGATAAAATAACGTTAAAAAGTCAGTATCTCGATAATTTTTAGAAGTAGGCTGTGCCTGCAAATATTTTTGAAATTGAAAGCAGAATAAGGTTAAACGTCAAATAGTAGACAGTTAGTTTTGTTGTCTGTTGAAACCTAAAACGTTTTTTTGCAATTGTGAATGCACGAAATTTAGTTTCTTTTACCTGTTTGTTTTTGCAAGTTTTATAAAAATGGCATTTTTATTCTCCAATCAAGAGTTAGCGGATATTCATTTTGTGTATGGCTTTGTAAAGGGAAACGCAGCAGAAGCAGCCAGAGAATACGCACGAAGATTTCCAAACAGACGACATCCAACTCGCTCAATAATTGAAAATGGTTTTGGAAATCTCCAAAGGGATCAAAACATAAATGTTCGTCAGCGCAGATTTACCCGTATGATTCTGCGTGAGTTTGATAGAGGTCCCACCACAAGTGTTAGGAGAGTTTCTGGTGCCTTGGGAATTTCAGCAAGCCATGTTCACCGTGTTCTTAGAAATGACCATAGTCGTCCTTACTATTTGCAACCTGTGCAAGGACTACAGCCAGGGGACGGAGAACGAAAAATGACATTTTGTCAGTGGATTTTTGATAGAACTGATAATAATAGGGAATTTTTAAGTAACGTTTTATGGACCGATAAGTCATGCTTCACTAGACGTGGAGTGGTAAATTTTCATAATCAACATATTTGGTCGCATGAAAATCCGCACGTAGTTCGGGAAAGGAATTTAGTGTGAACGTGTGGATTGGTATCTACTGTAATCGACTATTTGGACCCTACCATTTGCCTGCAAGGTTCAATGCTGCGAAATTCTTGGAATTTTTAAAGGCTGAACATGTAAATATGTGGGATGATGTTATGTTAGATTTAAGAAGATTGGCCTGGTTCCAGTTTGATGGTTGTCCAGCTCATTATTCGAGAATAGTTAGAAACTGGCTGGACGAAAATTATCCAGAAAGACGAATCGGCCATGGAGGACCAGTCGCCTGGCCTCCACGATCCCCTGACCTAAATCCATTAGATTTCTTTGAGTGGGGATTTCTAAAAGAAAAAGTGTACCAGACTCCCGTAACCACAAGAGATATGCTAATAGACAGAATCAGGAATGCATGTGATGAAATAAGGCCTTATTTGAATAATGCTATACCACGTTCGATCATTCGTAGATGTGAATTGTGTATTGAACAATTGGGTTTACATTTCGAGCAACTACTTTAGATTTTGTATGTTTGTCCTAACTATCCAATAGCATTTTAGTTGTAAATAATTAATTTAATTTGTTAAAAATAATATTGGAAAATTAAACAAATTATTATTCTGTTTTTTTTTTGTGTTTATTTGGAGTTAGGAATTATTGCTGTGGTTAAAGACACAATCTGAACGACCATCTTAATTACTTGCAATGCCCAAATCGAAAATGTAAAAAAAAATATTATTTTCCCATAAATAATTAAAAATGCATCGAACCTTAAAAATCGAAATATCTCAAAAACGGCTATCTATAACGAAAACTCGCAGGAGAGCTTTTTTATGTTGAAAAGTGCGAAGAATCAGTTTTTTTTGTTCAAAAGGCAAAAAATTGCACTAAGAAAATTTTTTCGGTCATTTTAATACACTACAGGTACAGTAGAGAGCGCCCTAAAACTATGTACATGGTTCGTTTTGTCGTAGCAAAAAACCCTCGTATACCAATTTTCACTGGTATACATCAAATATTGTTCGAAATATTTAAAAAAAAACTATTTTAGAAAGTAAATTTAAACACCCTGCATTTCGGAAGCCACGCATTTTTCGACCCATGTTTATATAGACTTTATGCATTAATTTTAAAAGTTCTATCGAATCTTAAAGTTATGCAACAATAAACTGAAACACCCTGTATAAATTTGCGCGTGATTTTGAAAGCATGGACCCTTAGGAATAATTAAGAGCGAGGTTAGCAGTAAAATGTTCTCTTTAAAACGAAAATAGTGCCTGTTATTACTACTGAGGGAACTACTGTGGAATAAGACAGCTTATAGTGCAATATAACATATTACCAGAATCGACCATTGCGATCGTGAAAACAGTCGGAACTGTATACAAGTTCGCATTGTCAGCCGCCACTGTTGCCGCTAAGCGCCGCCGATTTCGGTCCTACAGTAGTTACGGCTTACTCGCCATTGAAAGCTATATTACTAGTTTAGAGCTACTGTGATTCTATTTGGCAACATGGCAGGGGTGATGGAAATTGTATGTAAACGTCTAAATATGGTAATACATTATGGTAACTCTCATCGAGTAGGATCTTAAGAATAAATCAATAGATATTTCTTTTTAAGTATTGGTTTGTTACCTGTAGGTAGCAATGTTATGTTATTTTCAGTAAGATAAAGCCTTTTCAACGACTTCAAATCACTTAACGCAAATTTTGGAATGGTTTGCAAATCATTATTGCTTAAATCGAGATCTTCTAGAGCCATCAAGCCATTGAACAAGGTTTCAGGAATGCTTCTTATCTTGTTTCTGGACAGGTGCAGCAAAATCAAATTAGAATTTCCTCTGAAAAGCTTAGCTGGTAGCTCCTTGATCAGGTTATCAGAAATGTCGAACGTTTGGAGGCTTCTTAGGTACAGAAGAACATCTGGATGAATTTCTTCAATTTGGTTCTTGTGAAGACGGCTAGAAAGTCAAATATTGCATTTAAATGTTTCGTGTTTTGGAATATTGTATCTAATCTACACTTACAGGTACTTGAGACTTTCTAGCTCCATGAAAATGTTATCTGGGAGGTGATCCAGCAAATTGTCGAATAGATCTAATTCTGCTAAGTGAGTCATTGATCGAAAGGCATACTTGTTCAGAGTGGTCAGTTTGTTTATCCCCAAGTCTCTGAAAAGAAACATAATGAACGTGTCTGCTATACAAAGTACTTAAAAACAGAAAACTGTTCATATGAGTAATCACTTCTCAATGGGCGTAATCTGGAAAGCTAGAAGTGGATGGTGCTATTTAGGTTGGCGCTCATCTCTAAGGTCATAAACGGCAGGTGAGGTTGATTCGGTATTTGAGAAGAAGAATCAATGATCGACACTTTGAAATTCAATTTTTCCTCCCAGGCAGAAAAACTCGACACTATTACCCTGTGGGCCTCCCCTGGCCGAAGTGTGAGACTTTACAGAAACAGAATACTTAACTTAAACCCCTCAGTCATTCGCCACGCATCATTTCTTCATTGTGGGTAGAGGCACGCTAGGTTTTCCTACGATCTTACATATACACTTACATTCGTATACCTATACAGGGTGTTCCTTAATGGTATGCTAATATTTATGGGTGTGAATCTACATGAAAAATTAATGTTAGTTTACTTTATAAACTGTAACGGTTTCACCGTCCGATCGTATTTATCAAATCACTTCTCGATTATCATTTCATTAATCCCATCTCTAGCTTTTTTACTTGGAAACATTTCCGCTTGGAGCGCGCTTGTTGCGGAGTTCCTGATCTGCGATCTTCCTCGCGCTTCCTTTTCACTTGAGCCGCCGATCTAACAAGACCTAAGAATTTTGTTCTCTGTAGCATGACGTCATATAGCGCCATGTGCTAGCGGATTGTAGAATGTGTGTCCGAATAGGACAAAATGATTGGGGCCTTTCCCTTTCCCTTTGCCTTTGTCTTTGACTTTTGCCTTTGTCTTTGACTTTGCATTGCTTGGCCTATCACTTCACCCATGCATGTGCCTTGGCAGCGCTATCACCTTTAAGTTCAACTTCGCCTACAACTGGTTTTGAAGCCACTAAATTTGAGGTCACCCCTCATAACTGGGACCTCCACTTCAAGCACCTGGCCATAATCGCTTCAGTCCAGTCAAAAATGGACCAGCGAAAGATAAGTGTATAGTTTTATAGCAGCGCCAAAGATTTAAAACTTATTTTGTTCTTTAAAATTTCAATTTCAAATGTAATGAAAATGCTTTTTTGTTAAATAAAATCTGTTAAATTTTTATGTTCTGTTTGTTCTTCTATCCTCTAGCCATGCCATGGTCGACACACAGCTACACGCCTGTAGATGTCTTCATGCCACCGACTGAGCTACCGGAAGCTAATGGTAACCCCCTTTCTGTGATTGTGCAGAAAAGTTGGAATCTTCATTGCATTCCATCTTTTCTGGGCTTTTTGCGGAAAGGAAGGTTTACATAAATTGGCACCCGCAACGTGAGGCTTCGATTGGTGTTTGGCTTTGTCGACAAGTGGTTTGCTAGTGGAAGATTGGCAGACAGAACATAGTTTTCAAAATTCTTTACAATTTTTGGCAGCATTTCTATTTTTAATTGCTTTTGGTACTCAAATTTCTAATTCTTTAATCATCCTTACTTTTTGCGTAATGTTTAAAATTTTTATCAAAAGATTAAAATTTTTCCACCTGTTTATTTCATAGGCGTACTATGCTCTATTAACTTTTAAATTGTCTTGTTTAGTAGTCAGCGAGATCATTGCCAGAATTTTTTTTTCTCACATACTACTATAGTTTTTATTTACTGCTGGGGACAGTTATAACTTTTTTTCTCATTGTAGTTTTGAGATCGATGATATTTTGATAATTTTTTGTTGAATATGATAGTCTGAGGACTTTAGGTTTCCCAGTATTTTATCGAATATCATCAAACTTTTGATTGAGGTTGTGACTATTGTTGTTGATAGTTTATATATTCTTATATGCTTTTGATTTTTGATCACTAACCTCTTAGTTTTTGAAAGTATTTCTTCATGTGCAGTTTTTTTGATTTCTTGAGACTTTTCATGTATGCATATATAGCCTAATTGTTGGATCTCTGGTGTACTGATATAGCTCTCATGATGTTTGGTACGTAGGAAATTTACTTTCAAAATAATTTTTGCCTTCCCCAAATGTTTTTACTTTTTGAATTTTTGACTGTACTTGAACTTTTGATCATTTGTTTTCATTCTGATGGCAATAATCTACTGACTAGAGTTATCTGGAGTAAATCATTTTGCGATTTATTCATTTGTCTGAATTGTATGAAATTGATATTCATAATTTTTCGTAAGTATATTTTGGCAGTTTACTTTTTTCAAGTATTGACACTTGGACATAGTGCGTTGATACTTACCTTTTTTTTTTTCAAGAAACAGATGATGTTTTTCTTGACTATATTTTTGCTACTTTTCAATGGGGGGTGACTCCTGAATCATTTTTACCTATACTAAGACACACATACTCATTTATGGTAATTGTATGTCAACTTGTTGAAATATATAGTATACGTTCCTCAGTAACTATTGTAGTAATTTTGTCTCTTGTTTGGAGCATACGTTTTCATAATTTTAATGTTTTATAGTTTTATCTGGCATATTCTTTGGGGGAAATTAGAACATTAGTGTCTGATTTTCCATTGGATTAACAGGACCTGAACGTCTCCGTACTTTTTTAATGTCTGTCAGATATAAAATAATTTTTTTAAGATTTGGTTGCTTCTGTTTTTGTATTGAAACTTTTTGTTTGTATTGTTAGTTTTTTATAGTGTTTTGGATCCTTGTCATTTATTGATCTATTCAGGTTTTTAACTTTTTTTTTTTAAATATAATAATAACAAAAAAAAAACGCTCAATCGAGGGGGCGAGTTTTTCGATCTGTACATTGGAGCGAGTAGGTGTTCCTATGTTTATTTCCTAGTACAGATGCGAACGGATAAGAATTTCCTTTGATAATGATTAAACTTATTTGCTGTAAGAGGCAGCTGATTGTTTACTTTGGACATTTAACATCGTTGATCCTTCAACCTTTTGAAATATTACAATCAGTCCAATACTCATATTTCCGCTCAATCGAAGGGGGCGAGTTTTTCGATCTGTACATTGGAGCGAGTAGGTTTTCCTATATTTATATCCTAGTACAGATGCGAACGGATAAGAATTTCCTTTGATAATTGTTAAGCTAATTTCCTGTAAAAGGCAGGTGAATGTTTACTTTGGACATTTGTCATCGTTGTTCTTTCAACCTTTTGAACTATTACGTCAGTCCACCATTTACAAAATTCACAAGTCATAATTATTTTTCTGATTCCAATTTAATGTGCATACTTCATCTTTTGAATATTTCATTTTTCTGAGTGTACTCAAAATTTAAATTGCATTCCCGATCAAAATCATGTGACAAATACTGTGTATAATATTTTATAATGTTTTTATGCGTATGTTTTCTGAATTTCGTTTACATACTTACGTACCTCTATTTTTGAAGTCTATTACTTTTGAAGTTTTTGATAGTATCCTCTTTTTGAATCCATTATAACATTCTTCGAGAGCACAGACTTACATGGATTTTTGGTTCAAACTTTTGATGTTTGTTCACATATTTTTGAGTGGTTTTGAACTTTGACAGTATTTTGTAGTCTGGATAGTTACATAGATTCGTTGCGATGTATGCCTTTGAGAGTCTTGTATTATCCACAGTTCCTTTAATTGAAAGTGTTTTCTTCATATGCATTTTATTCTCTTCTTGTGACTTGTCATATATGCTTTCCGCCTAGTTGCAAATCTGTGCGTATTGATAAACTCTTGAAACCTCTGGCGTATAAGTAAAACTCACTTTTGATATAGTAATTTATGTCTCAGTTCAATTCAATCAGTTCAATTTGATTTGAAGTAATTGTCAATTCCTTCTTGAGATTTTTCATATGTGCTTTCAGCCTTTGTGCACATTTGTGCGTATTGCTAAGTCTTGAGCTTGGTTGCGACATTGCTTTCATATTTCGCTATAGATTTTGAAATATCTGATGATTTTGCTTTTGCATTATTGCATTTGTTTTGATAGTCTGCTCTCATAGTTTTTTTCCGACTTCTTATTTCTTTCAATTTCTGTGTTGACTTGAAGTAATCGCCAATTCTTATAGATTCAGTATAGTAATTCTCTTTTCATACTTTACACTGGTAAATTATTATAGTTTTTCTAATCTTGTAATATTTCATATTTGAACTTAACTTTCATTTTACAATGATATGGTTATTCTCAGTGTAGACTTTGAAGTGCGCTGATGATATCAGTGATCCACATGAGAATATTCCATAGACTATAGACATTCTTGCCTAGGGCTTTGGAGTGCACCTATGGTGACCCTAGAAAGTTGTATCTCTCTTATATTTTTGCTTTAAATCAAAATTCGAATTCTTACCTATCATATCTATTTCTATTTCTTGTTCACTAGATTTTTTTTATAACTCCAATTTTGCACCTGCATATATCGTAGACGTTTGCATACAATTTTTGCTTGCGGCATTACTCTCATGTATCATGATTTATTAAAATATCTTGTGATTTTCGTTTCGCTATTTTGCATTTTACATATGCTCACTTCGTTTCTCATTTATTACTCATGAAACTTTTAATATTTTGCTTACTTTTGTATTTTTTTGAGAACTCTTTATAAAATCATGATCATATAGCTTTGATATTTCCTTTCACTTTATGATTTTAATACTATTAGATTTACAGTTGCACTTGTGTTGCACTTAGTTTTTTTTTGAAATTTATTTTGCTCTTTTCTATATTGAACTTCAGAATTTTTTTTTTTTGGTCTGGTTCTTATGTTGTCACATGACCCGAAAATTTTGATTGAACTTACACTTGAATTTTAGTTCATTGATTGAACTTAAGCTATATTTGGACTCTGAAAATCTTACTTCAATATTTCATAAATCTCTCTTATATACTTTAATTCTCTGAAAACATTTTGAATTATTTCGTAGTCTTACAGACTGCTGGCGCCCGACAATTTTTTTGTGGAATCAGAACTGCACTTAGTTAACACCTTTTTTGATTAAAATACCTTCTTGATCAAGTTTTCATTGATTCAGTACTTGTAAATTGTTTTGTTATATGACTTGAATTCGTAATAGAATTTGTTAATTTCTTTTGATTTTCATATTTTGAAAATAGTAATGCATAGTTTTTTTATATTGGATATTGGTTTAAAATATTACTGTAGATCATATTCTTTTTGGGTTTGGAGTATTGCGAGATAATCTGGCAATTGTTTTGAGAAAGTTTATCATTCTGTTTTTTTTAGTACCTCTTATGGTTTAGGTACTTACTTAGTTTTGAAGTTTTTAGTAGTCAGTCGTGCATTTTGGATGCCATTGTAATTCGTGCTTGGACTACTGCTGAAGCTTTTGGTATATTATTTGTTGTTATGTGTTTTATGTTTTGGGTTGTTCATCATGTGATGATAGTTTTTTTAAGTGCAACTTCACTGTTCTTTTCAGCGAGTTGGTGCTATAACCGTCCCTCTTGTTTGGTAGACTTGAGGCTATCCCTTTTTCTTCCAATTCTCTTCTAACATTTTTGTTTCTACCTTACTTTTGCTACTTGTTATCTGGTCGAATGGTTGTACATTTGTCCTTCCGTGATAACTTTCAATTTCCTAGTAAAAAAAAATTCTTGAATGCTTCTTCGAATTTTTTTTTTTTGGTTAAGTAGGGGCGAGTGTAACGGTTTCACCGTCCGATCGTATTTATTAAATCACTTCTCGATTATCATTTCATTAATCCCATCTCTAGCTTTTTTACTTGGAAACATTTCCGCTTGGAGCGCGCTTGATGCGGAGTTCCTGATCTGCGATCTTCCTTGCGCATCCTTTTCACTTGAGCCGCCGATCTAACAAGACCTAAGAATTTTGTTCTCTGTAGCATGAGGTCATATAGCGCCATGTGCTAGCGGTTTGTAGAATGTGTGTCCGAATAGGACAAAATGATTGGGGCCTTTTCCTTTCCCTTTGCCTTTGTCTTTGGCTTTTGCCTTTGTCTTGGACTTTGCTTTTGCGTTTGTCTTTGACTTTGCATTGCTTGGCCTATCACTTCACCCATGCATGTGCCTTGGCAGCGCTATCACCTTTAAGTTCAACTTCGCCTACAACTGGTTTTAAAGCCACTAAATTTGAGGTCACCCCTCATAACTGGGAGCTCCACTTCAAGCACCTGGCCATCCTCGCTTCAGTCCAGTCAAAAATGGACCAGCGAAAGATAAGTGTATAGTTTTATAGCAGCGCCAAAGATTTAAAACTTATTTTGTTCTTTAAAATTTCAATTTCAAGTGTAATGAAAACGCTTTTTTCTTAAATAAAATCTGTTTAATTTTTGTGTTCTGTTTGTTCTTCTATCCTCTAGCCATGTCATGGTCAACACACAGCTACACGCCTGTAGATGTCTTCATGCCATCGACTGAGCTACCGGAAGCTAATGGTAACCCCCTTTCTGTGATTGTGCAGAAAAGTTGGAATCTTCATTGCATTCCATCTTTTCTGGGCTTTTTGCCGAAAGGAAGGTTTACAAAACTATAGTCCAAAAACGTTTTCTTACAAAAACTAGGGGTGTTGTGTTTTAGGAAAAAAATGGAAATTAATTAATCTTTTCAGAACCACTTCAGATATTTCACTGATATTCCGTACGTAGTGATAGTTAATAGAGTTTCGTATTTTTCAATGCACAAATAATTTTGTGCTTCAACAGTGGCGTGCTTGCGGGTATTGACTTCGATATTTCTAAGAAAAACATGGTACGCCAATGGTTTTTTCCCAAATACAAATTATTTTTCAATTCCCCATTCAATTTAACGCAAATGATCTCTCTTGAATTGTTTTCGTTCGATACGCCTTTATTGAGTAAAAACATAACCGTTCTATTGCCTACCTTGCAAAATTCTTACTAATTCATTTGGCAAAATTAAACACATTAGGGGTGATAGACAGTAACAACTGACAACATACACATAACATTAAAACCAACGAAATGATTACAAAAATTGTTGAAAATGACCCCCTTAACATAGTATGCATGCTTCCGCCCTTCTTCTCAAGGAATTCCGCACCCGTTGAAATATCCCTGGAGCGTTTTTTTATTCTATCACAAGCTGCAAGTATTCTTTCTCTTAATTCCTTTACAGTGTTAAAGGGACTTGTGTACACTATTGTCTTAAGATAGCCCCACAAAAAGAAATCTAAACTGTTGAGGTTTGGGGACCTTGGTGGCCATTCTTGGGGCCCACCGCGGCCAATCCAACTATTTGGATAAACAGTTTGTAACTAATTAACAACCGCTACACTGAAATGCGCTGGTGCACCATCGTGCATGTACCACATATTGTTTCGTGTTACTAACGGAACATCATCAAGCAGCAAAGGCAACCGTTGTTGAAGAAAATTGGGGTAAGTCTGTCCGTCAAGTCGTCCCGGCAAGAAGAATGGGCCAATTAAGTGGTTGCCAATAATTCCTGCCCATACGTTAACCGAAAATTGGTGTTGGAAATGGGTTTCGGTTACGACATAGCGATTTTCTTTTGTCCACAAATGATTATTGTGGAAATTCTGACTGACATTTCGAGAAAAATTAGCTTCGTGCGTGAACAGAATCGTTGATTCAAATTGCGGATTTTGTGTAATTTTTTGAAGATGCCACTGACAAAAGGTCACACGCTTTGGAGAATCAATGGGAATTAATGCCTGTACTCTTAAAATATGGTGAGGATATAACAAAAAATCCACTAAAATTCTCCAAACAATTTGATGGCAAATATTTAAGTGTCTAGCGATCTTCCTCGTACTCGTTTCAGGATATTCTTCGACTTGAATATTAGAAAAAGTTCGACTATCGGGCAAAGCACGATCGAGATATCTCTGGTGATAAACCGTCTGGCTTGCTTACCATTACCGTCGGCAAGGCGATGTTCGTAATGCATTTCCACCATTTCTGCATTTGCATAATTCACCATTATTAACAAGATTCTAAAAACTAAATAATGAAAAAGATGTCACAGCTAACAGATTTGAATAACAGAGACTTGTCAGATGTCGAAAACCAGTGACATATTCCAGAGCAACTAGATATTTATTGCTAAATTCCATTCTTCAATTTTTACATTAATTTTCTCGGACAATAGAGCGGTTTTTATTTTTTTACCCAAAAATGGTGCATCGGAGGAAAACAATTCAAAATAGATCATTTGTTTCAAATTGAACGGGATATTCAAAAATTGGCAAAAAACCGTTGGCACCATTTTGTTCTTAAAAAATATCGAAGTCAATACCCATACGCACGCCACTGTTAAAGCTAAAAATTATTTTTGTATTGGAAAATATGCAACTTTATTAACTTTCACTACCTACTAAATATCAGTGAAATATCTGAAGCGGTTCTGAAAATATTAATTAATTTCTTTTTTTTCCTAAAACTTCAACACCCCGAGTTTTTGTACGGAATCATTTTTGGACCATAGTTTATAGAACAAACTAACATTAATTTTTCATGTAGATTCACAACCGTAATTATTTGCATATCATTAAGGAACACCCTGTATACATATCTAACCGAATAAGAACCTCCTATTGATTCCTGTGTCTATTTTTGTTTTCCCTTGTACCTTGCCCAGCATCATCCGCCTCTGGCCGAATATTAATTTATTTGCCCTTTCTTAAATACATGGAAAATTTTTCAGCAGTGAGCCTCTCGCCGAGCGTCAAAACCAGCTGTCTTTGGCAGTCAACTCATCTGCCCATCTACCTTTGATAGTTGGATAACGCCACAATTCTCAATATTCTGTTCAAAGCAAGCATGAACTAGCTGAATATAAAAGCTAAATAGTTCTGCGGGGAATGTCGTGGCGTAGATCGTGGAGTTGTGTATTCCTGCAGGATATTTTCTCATCTATGTTGTAGTGGATAAGTCCCATCTGAAACAATACTCACATGGAAATGACATCATGAGGCAGTGTTTGATCGGAGGGGAGAATTTGAAGATCTTTCTGCCAACAGGTGACACTTTTTGTTTCTGGTCGACATTTGCAAGGACCTTTTCCGCAATCTATCCATCTCTCGTTTGCTTTCGATATCTCCCATACTGTAATGAAATTCAAACTGAATACAAAGTTCGTGGCAATTCATAGGCACAGCATATTTGGTGTCCCACTTAAAACTGCATTGATCGATCACTCAAAAAGATGACGTAAGGCTGCTTTGGGAAATCCTTTCAAAATGGTGGCACCTTCAGTTGTATATTAATCGAAGAACAACTTGCTTATTTCAAATATCCTGTGCATTATCAAAGTTTTGGATTCCATGAGAGATTCAAAATACATCTCAGGCATATCAACTTATACCTAACTCTAACCGCTTTTGAAGAGTCTCAAATTATGCGTAAGAAATAACATACTTTTTTCCTCCATATAATAATGGGCTTCCATAGTATGCGACCTACTTTAGTTTTAGTTGGTTTTGTTCCAGATTTGAATAACAAGTAAAACAGAATGAAAATCAGATTCTTAAACACATATTTCCAAATGGAAATAGGATTAGCTTCATGTGAGGATATATGGAAATACTAGATTTTCTCTTGCTTATGCGCTACATACTGCTATTACCATAAGATAAACTCAGTTGTAGTTAATAAAAGCGAATCTCAGAGGAACAAGTTCAGTTGCGGTATTGGCAGAACGGTGGCAGATCACCCACCAGTCGGTGTAAATGGATCTTGAAAGCAGAAACTAAGTCTGAATACTATTGGCTTATGAAATCGAGATATTGTGAACCCACCTGGCTGCTCCAAAGATCTTAGCCTCCTCTCAAGCTTCATCAGATAACTGTTGGTATTCTGATCTTCAAGATAATCAGCAAATTCCCTTAGTTCAATTTGACTCTGTTGCAATGCCTCACAAGCAGTAATGTCGCATGTTTCACGTAGTTCCCCTACTGGCAAGCTTGCAACGACTAACACAAAGCAAAGTACTTTCATCTTGAAGGAAATACGCTAAGATACTGCACGATTTCCTAAGTAAGTCCAATGTTAACGATGTTTCTTTTATTAGATAATTTGAGTTATTTGATTCACCATGAAATTTCTTCCCTATTCATTACATCAAGGCAAATGCGATCATTAAGCAGATTAAAATAGCAGCATAAGTGAGGGCCTTGCAATATTTAAGCTTTAAGATGCTTGAAACAAGTCACGGTGAGATCCGCGAGCTTTCAAAACTATATTGCTTTTTTAACGTATGACTTTGTAGGAACTGATTTCTATTTTCTTGGGATGACCGAAGCTGAAGCCCACAAGGATTCCTGAGGCTCCTAACAGACAAAACGTTACCATGGCAGCCGAAAGTTTTAAATTGATAGGTCTCTGCATTTGCTCAGTCCGTGTGCATATGTCGTAGCTATTTTGTAGAATTGCCCGTTCCAAGTCCAAATAAATTTGAGCATACCGCTAACATTCAACGTTTAACGATTTGATCATCCACTATTGATCATATCGTAAAATAAGGTGTCCATAAATCAGCATAGTACTCGAGTAATTTTTTTCGTAAAGTCTTTTAATCTCACTATCTTCGTATTTTAGCAACAAACTACAGGGTTTGTCCGGAAAGTAATAGGACTGAGTCGATTTAAAAAAAATTATTGAGCCAATCGTTACAATTCTTTAAAAACGTTCAAAATAGGCTCCTTCTGCGTCGATGGAGCGCTGCCAGCGCGATTTCCAAGCATTGAAGGCGTCTTGGAAGGCATTCTCCGGAATAGCCTTGAGAGTCGCGGTGCATGCTGCTTGGATCCCCTCTGTCGTCTCAAAATGCTTGCCTTTCATCGGCCTTTTCAGGCGAGGAAACAAAAAATGTCCGGGAGGGGCACATCTGGGCTGTAGGGCAGCTGCGGAAGCGTTGGGATGCCGGCCTTGGTCAGGTAGCTGTTCTCAAGAAAGGCGGTGTAAAGTTGTCGTGGTGCAACTTCCAGTCGGCTGCGATGTTTTGTCAGACCCGACTGACCCTTCGTTCCAGTCTCCTGAGCACTTCCAAGTAAAACTTGGCGTTGACGGTTTGTCCAGGAGGAACAAATTCATGGTGGACGATGCCTTTGATGTCAAAAAAGACAATGAGCATCGTTTTCACTTTGGATTTGCTCATTCTTCCCTTTTTTGGGCGAGGAGACGCCGTCGTGTGCCACTCGGAAGATTGCCTCTTTGTCTCGGGATCATACTCAAAGATCCACGACTCGTCACCTGTGATTACGTTATTCAAAAATTGAGGGTCACTTTCACACATGTTCAAATTTTCTTGGCACACTTCGACTCGCCGCAATTTCTGGTCGTCGGTGAGCACTTTTGGGACCATCTCCGCGCACGCCTTGCGCATGTTCAAAAGCTGTGTCACAATGTAATGAACCACAGATTTTGGTAAATTTAACATCTGGGTAATTAAATAATACTAAGTCGACGGTCTGAGTTCAAAACTTTGCGCACACGAGTCACATTATCGGTGTTTGTCGAAGTCGAAGGCCTTCCAGCACGGTCTTCATCAGCGACCTCTTTCCGGCCCTCCAAAAAGGCCTGGTGCCACCGAAACACACCACTTCTTGCTATAGCAACACCTGGGTAAGCCTGCTTGATCATATCAAACGTCTCTGTCGCAGATTTACCGAGTTTCACACAGAATTTAATCGCCTCTGCTATAACGAACGCTGTATTTTCGGATTGGACCACTCACAGAAACACGTCGCGCGGAAATGCCAGTCCTGACTCTCCAAGTGCTCGGAGACAACTGACCAGCCGCTCAGACGAATCCAGACGGTACGCGCACGCTCCGAGGTACAGTCATGGCGAAATAAAATGAGTCCTATTACTTTCCGGACAAACCCTGTATTATAATTTTCACTTTGATCTTAACGACCGACATGTTAACATGAACGAAGTAGCCGTGAACTTAATTGATCATATCGATAAACGATTTGTTATCATTGATCTGATATATGCACATTATGATCTAGGCAATGGATAATGATAGATTTCATGTAATGCTACCAATTTCATAAAATGGACAGTCTTACGATGTGGCGACGACACATATACGGGTACAAAGGAAGGAGAACCGAGTAGGTAATTGCCACTGCCAGTTAACCATTTGAGGTCACGTTATTCAATGCTATAATCAAAGCTTGGTTTTATTAATGCGCGGCCGGATTTTACTAAGCTGGGGCACAAAAACGCGCGTGGGTCACAAATCCAACCAATGAAAAGGTATCTTTGAAGTAATGGGCCTAATAAATATGGTGGGTTTCTTCTGAAACGTCTCTCAAACCATAGATTATACGGTTTGTGTAAGATGGGAACCTAATTCTTAAATTAAATAACAAATCACTTCGTTTAGCTTTAAAAACATATTTCTTCGTTTGAGTCCGGACACAAAATTAGCGTCCATGATCATACAATGCACCAATGAGAACACAAACACAAATCTGATACAATATCTAGATAGATATCACAGCAATTAAATTGGCATTCAATTAAAAATAACATTGTATCACTGTTACTGTACAAAATTCTGCTTGATAAATTCTCTGTGACATAAAATTACAGTATGCTTATTTTTCAACAAACATTGAGTAAATATTCAATTTACTTGTCTACCGTGCGAAAAACCCGGTTCCTTAGACCAGCCCTGTTAAAAGGAAGCTCTCGTGCCCTCTACAGGGTAGCAGAACGATTACTTCTTCCCTCGCCATCGTCATCGTAGCGCTGTCTTGTTGCGTGGTCGTGCTACCATCCAGTAGAGTGAATGACAGGGCTGGCTTTGCACGGTAGTCAAATAAACTGATTATTCTCTCGATGTGTTAAATAATAAGCAGTCTGTAATTTTATTTATGTGCTCAAACAATGTATTAAATGGAATTTTGTACATCAGTGAGACACTGTTATTTCCAATAAAATGCTCAGTATTGGCGTCATGTTAATTTATTGTATCAGGATTGATCCATGTTTCGAGTAGGCCGTAAGTTCTTCTTTTTGATTGATGGAACTTACATCAACCTTTGTAACCCCACACAAATGAAAAATCATGTGATATAAGAAATATTCCTTGACTAAATATGAGATTTAGGAGTCTACCTTACACCAGTGGTATAGTTTTTCTTTAGAAAAATTTTGCCAGAAATCAACCAAGCTCATGAGAAGGATTACTTCAAAGACGCCTTCTAATTTATACCAAATGCACATATTTTGATTCCCGCCGGACAATAGTAAAATCGGACCTAAGAAGCATAATTATCATACTTGTTATTTTTACGAAAATTAAAATGTAATCTCTTTACCCGAATGATGATCAGCTAATCTGAAAATGATATCCAAATTGTAAAAAAGCTTCTCATTGGATCTACTGATTAGATAAGGGATATATACGTTCAATGAATCACTAGATACCTTTATATGCACATACTCATATATGTCCAAGTTTCAGCATGAAAGCTATATTCTTGCTTTTACATGTGTGTTTTTTATTATGTCTCAAGTGCGTAACTAGCCAAGATAACAACAGTAAGTTTCTATACACTATATTACTTAGATTTCCAAATCAACTTTTGCGACATCCTGTTTCATTTGCAATACTCATTTTATCACTCACATGACGTTGATGTTTTTCATTTGCAATATTCATTTTATATTGGAGGAGTTACAGTTCTTCAAAACCTTATCGCTCCTCAGACTGCAGAGAAATTTGATTTTTATTTTCATTATAATGTTTGTTGAACGCCCCCTAATACGAATCAAGTAAAGATAGATAGATGTACCTTTATTTCCAACAGGCACATACGCACAACACAAACGCAACACAAAATTACTAAAACCATCTGAGCATTTAGTTGCTCTTAGGAAGCAAAGACAACCAACGTTATATATATATATATATAAGCAATTGAATAACACGAAAAAAGGTAGACAAAGAAGTTAAATATTGAATGTGATCTGCAAAATTGATTTGTAAACGAGCGAGAGAGAAGAGAAGCTTACGTCATCGATGAGATCTATTAAGTTAAAATTGTTTGAGATCGTTGAAACTGGTGGTTTAATCAAATTTTTGGTTGCAGCACATTCACAAGAAAATACTGTCAAATTTGCTAAGGCATTTTACCCAACAAAAATTCACATATTATATTTCAGTTTGTACAAACAGCCTGTTATTAGAAATATTAGTTGTTTGTTCAACATTTGTTTCATTAAGCAGCAAAGAGTAATCAAATCCTTGCTCAGAAAGTACTCCTGTACTGAAGTCAAAATATACTAAGTGACATATAAATCCGAACGCCCAGTTTAAAGGGTTTTATTTTAATAAAATTTTGTATAAGTACTTAATGAAGCATAATAAGTAAATGATAAAGATTTCAAAATGATTGCACTGCTTTAAAGCCCTTTGACCTTTAATAATGTGTGGATGCACCCTGATGTGCTACGCATTCTCCAACGCGCCTAGGCATGCTTCTGATCAGGTGGTCAATCTCCTCCTGTGGTATCTCATTCCAGGCAACCACCAACTCCTCTCGAAGTGCTTCTAGAGTCTGAGGAGGACGTTGCAAATTGAGCAATCTCCTACCCATCATATCCCACACGTGCTCAATTGGGGATAAGTCGAGAGATCTTGGTGGCCATGGTAACAATGTGACATCATTATGTTGAAAGAAGTCTATTGTGACTCTTGCAACATGTGGTCAGGCATTATCTTGTTGGAAAGTTGGATCTGCCAGGGTGTCAAGATAGGGTAAAAGATGGGGTTCTAGAACTGGATATAACGCTGCGCGTTCATGCTACCTTTGATGAAGATTAAAGGTGACCTGGAACCATAACCTATAGCACCCCAAATCATAACTCCAACAGTATGATGGACATATCTTTCAACAAAAAACTGTGGATTCCTCCTTTCACCACGTCGCGTTCTAACCCTGGCACGACCATCGTGCATGCCTAAACAGAATCGAGACTCGTCACTAAAGGCAATACTGTTCCATTCCTGATCCCAGAGTGACCGTTGTCTGCACCACTCAAGGCGATTACGTCGGTGTTCTCGAGTTAAAGGGAGGACCCAGTGTGGCTGGTATGAAAACAAGCCAAAACTTCTCATTCGTCGGTAAACACTTCGCATGCCAATAGGTCTTCCGTGTTCTGCGAACCATTCATTTGCAATGGACCTGGTAGTGGAGAAATGGTCCCTTAAGGCCAATAATCTTAGGCGGCGATCTTCACGGTCTGTTGTTCTACGGCGGCGACCAGTGCCCCTTGCTCTTTGCGTACGGCCTTCTCGAAGCCATGCCTGACAACACCTAACCACAGTGTCTACACTTCTTTGCACTCTAACCGCAATTGCCCGAAAAGAAAGTCCAGCTTCCCGATGTCCCACTATACGGCCCCTATCAAACTCACTAAGTTGACGAAATCGTACAGGTCTCCGTACTCTAGGCATCGTGGCCGATCGTAAAGGATGTCAAGAACCAAAATCCGCCAACGTTGATTCTTTACTGCGGCTGAAATATTCATTTTTAGAGCGTTAGTGAATTAGAAAAAAGCAGTATAGAAACCGGAATGTCCAACTGATGAGGCTGAAAATTTTTTCACTTGCTTTTTACAGTAAGATAAATACATTCACCAACTTTTATTAAAATAAAACCATTTAAACGGAGTGTTCGGATTTATATGTCACTTAGTATATATCAAAAACCTCCTGTGAACAGGCTCGATCTTACTAATATGTGTTGCACAATATGGGTAACAAATCAAAACACCATACTCTAGCTTGCTGCGTACATAACTTCACATATATTGCACGTAGAATCTGAAAAATTTAGCATTCTAGGCAGAACAAGACATTTTTGATCAATTTGATTCAAATATTAAAGTATTCTGTTTTCTTCTGAAGGATACAGCGAAGCATTTAGGGAGATGATTGATTGGCTTGTCACGATGCAGATATTGTCATTATATCTTGTTGCAAGGCAAGGCAGTCTTCCATAGTACTTACTGAATAATATATTTTTAAGTCGTTTGCACACAATAATTTTGATTAATACGAGTAAAGAGTTTATTCAAACAATAATTGATAATAATTGACAATTATTTCCTTAAACAATGACAGAGAAATATATTTTTCGCTATGGACAATATTTCCTCAGATTTTTCGCATCATTCTGAACAAATAGGGTCCTTAGTAAACTGCTTTCTAACGTTGCTGTAAACCTAAGGTGTGCATAGCTCATAGCACGTTATTGACAATGAAATAACAATGCATTAAAAGAAATTAAGTCCAAATTACTACTTAGTTTCTTGTAGAAGAAGGTATGGACTCTAACTTAGGTACTTGGCAAGTTCAAAAATAGTAACTCTTAACTTTGCTTATAACCCAGTTTTTAAGCATTGAATATGACCGATCTTAGGATTTTTCGGAATTTAAATCGCATTGAATTCGAATACGGTCAATACAGAAAAGCTTTAAGAGCGTTTTTCGTTCAGATAAAACTTTGGAGCGTAGAGAAAAACAGTTCTCTTTAATGTGCTTGAAAGCATTATCAAATTTGCACCGGGATACCATCTGGCAACCATTTGACTGATGTTACAGGTACCCAACAAACATGATAAAAAAATCGAATCAGAAAATATCATCCAGACATTTGTAAGTTTTCTCATTGTCTACCTGTCATTCTGCAAGTAAAGTAGCACTGACCATAACACATTGACCGTAAAGCTCTCAGAAATACTCATTAATCTGGTTTTGAGGTTGTCTCTTTGATCCATTGATTTTCCTCTCTCCACCCCAGAAGGAAAACCACACATGCTGACTGAACAGCTTTTTGATTGCCATGTTAGTTGAGATACTGTTGACTCATGTTTGTATGATTTTATTTGGTTTTCCAAGCGAGAGGAGAAATGTAGCTGTGACAAATTCTTATAGATGACGCTACGGTATCTTATTTAATCTTGGATAACTTTTCGGTCACAGGAATATAGTATTAGGTTAATTATCTTTAATCAGGAATGGTGTACTAAAAAGATTATACATTTGCATAAGCTACATTAATGCTTATTGAACGTTCAATCCCAACTAGCAAAATAGTGCTATAAGCTTTTGGTAAAAGAACCGTTCAGCCATAAAAGTTCTCTATTGTTGTTGCCTGAACACCAAAATGCTTAATGTTGTGTGGAATGTAAATTTGCTTTCTGCAACATATTTGCTCTAAAATGAGGTGTTTAAAATATTCTTATAGCATAGTTACCCAACACCTTATAGGACAAAGTTTTAACTATTGCATAAACGTTTATACAACTATTTTATACGGCATACTTGCAGGTTAGTCAAAATGGTTGTGTTGGGGCATCCATGGTAACGTTTATAAAACAAACCCGAGCCTTGTTGTTTTGCTGTGCAAATTTACTACTTTAACCAACAAATTGTTCCCAACGGAAGCACTTATACAACTGTTGTTTAGTAACTGTTAAAGGCTGTACATATGCTAAATATGTTGGTATACAACTTCACCATAACCTAACTTTCTGCTGTCATATTTTTGTTAAAATGTCATAACCAATGTTTTAAGGCAAATAACGCATATTGGTTAAAAAGGTTTTATCAACTGTTCAAACAGAAGATATAGATCTGGTAAATTCTAGGTAAATCATTCGACTCTGTCGGTATTTCATTTCTGACATTTGTCAAATTGTTGCATAACACCTGCAGGCGACACCAAAATATTCTAATAAACTAAAGACAACATGGACGATGCCATGGTTATCCACAACACCCGCCATATTGGGCAAACATTTATTCCTCTATTTGATATTAAATAATTATGTTTCAGTTCGAAATTACAGACATAAAGTGATGAACATTAGTGTAATTGTGTCTAAATATAGGATTTGTGGAAGATTTAACGCAGACAAGTTCAGTTTTCCATCTTAAAGATCCAGACATACTTTTGATCCTTATCAAAATATGAATCAAATACGAAACCCTTAGAAACTGCGTAACTACTTTGCACGATAATCACAATAAATTTTGCTGCACAAGTAATTCAATAGCCCTATATCACAGTGTAGAAGTTTATCATATACCTGTGTATGAAATTCATAATGGCCGATATGTAAGTAAACAAGATGACAGTAATGTGTTAGTTATATATTCTTCACTTCGTCTATGCAATACATAAGAAATAGTTTGGTTGCAATAAAGTAGAATCACGTAACAGAATAGTTGTATAGTTGACAAAAACTGAATCTTGCACTGACGCAAATGTCCTATAGCGGCTGCAAGAAGCTTACACTTTTGTTTTACAACTATTACCTGCAACCCTTATACAACCTCTTACATGACTGAAGTGTCCTATTAGGTGTGCCTATTCCGCTTGTATAGCTGTTCTAAGAGGGTTTTTCCAATGTTCTTACAGTATACAATGCTGTTTGAGGAATACTGTATAATCATTCTTGCAACTCTAATAGGAGATATAATTGTTAGTTGGGATTTGGTAGTATATAAAAGTAAATAAAAATGCATTCCTCATGATAGTGTATCATGAGTTACTTATGAAATAGGTTTTAACAGATAATTGGTCTGTAGGGTAGGGACAAATTTCTATGTTGCAACATTGTCAGATGTATAGGGACTATGGACTAATTGTACAAACATAATTTGTTCGAATAACTTGATCTATTTACTTCATGTGTTATGCTTGTGCCGAACATAACCCTTCATGCACCGATGACAGCGTAGTGTGGGAAGTCCAGGGTCAAGTTAACTGACGACATTTTATCTTCTCCAAGACATCACCCAAGACTGCGTGAGTCGCTGGTATTAGCAAAGACGGCTGAAGACCGCGGTGTTGGCTACTCGGCCCAATTGAAGCGATAGGGTCTGAGTGGATGTCTCGCTCTTCTCCCGACCAGATACTTGGCGCCAGATTCTAACTGAATTTGGATTGTTGAAATTTATTTCAATGATGCCTTGCTGTCATATACCTAATCCTTTTGACTTTGTCAAGAATATCTGAATCCAGAATATCGCTAAAATTAACATAGCGGATTATATGCTTGACGGGAAGGCGACATCGGAATCAATATCATTGGTTGAAATTCAATTAGAATCATGCTCAGCATTTAGACACACCGAGAACACTGTTTCGTAACTCTACTCGTTACGTGCAGATAAGTCTTAAGGCGTTCAATCTTCAAATTTCAGAAGGACAATGCAGTATTACCGTCGAAGACCCGTTTGACTGGAGATTTACGATAATTGAACTATACGATAACAAAGTTGATGTGGAACTCTTTTCCACAACGTATGACGAGCCCTTGAGTGGTAAGTTCAATTACCTTAAGGTTGGCTTGGTTAATTGATTCTTTGTTAATCCTTTAGATCTTGATTAAGGGATATAGCACATCTCACCCATTACTGTTGCATACGAATATATATAAAATGACAGGAGTAATATGATTATATACAGAAACGCTATGTAATGTACATAATTAAACACAGACAGACATACCTACATAACTAATAATAAACAAAAGGAATAAAACAAATCATCATGAAATAGCATTGTCATGCAAGTATTAATTCACAGTGTAGTAGGATATGCTTGATGAAGGTCCCTTGATATTTTTCCTAAAATTTTTGTCAGTTGCTGTTTTTAAGGTTGCTGGTAGTTCAGTATCCTGACGGTCATATGCTTTCGACTATGTTCTGCTATAATAAGTCTTTATTTGCAAATCAATTATACCAGCGGTAAAGCAGCAAAAACTCTCGCTACTACAGGGTGCGGCAGACAGGATGGACGGTTTTAAAAAAATCATAAAATAGTTAATTTTTACTCGAAAACAAATTTATTGATAGAATCAGGTTCACAAGGAAATAGCATTTGAGACAGTTAAGTGTGGAAAATCACATCAGGCATATGGTGGCCGAGGAGGCCAATGAACATCGCCAAACCTGGAAATAAGGCGACCAGGGAAGAGAGGGCGAATAACGTCCATGGATGCTCGGGCTGTGTGGGCGGTCGCCCCATCCTGCTGGAACCACACACGTCGGATTGGAACACGTCGCCGTCGTAATTCAGGGAGAAAGAAGTTGGTGATCATGTCGAGGTAGCGCTCTGAGTTCACGGTAACATCACGACCATTACCGTAAAGTAACGGCCAATGATGCAAGTTTGCGATATAGCGCACGAAACCGTTACTTTTGGGCTGTGCAGCGGTCTTTCGTGTAACTGTTGCGGATTTTTTCATTAGCCCAATAACGACAATTCTGCTGGTTAACCATGCTGTTTAGGTGAAGGTGGGCTTCGTCACTCATAAACAAAATGAGGTTCTCATTTTGATCGATCAGTGCTTCCATCTCACGTGCGGAGTTCATTCGTTGTGCATAATCTCCGGGCTGTAACTGTTGCACAATGGCCAATTTGTAGGGCTGAAAGCGAAGATCCATATGCAAAATTCGCCTTACCGAACGATCACTAAGGCGGGCAGATCGAGTCGGACTGCGAAGAAAGACCTGTCGAACGCGTTCAACATTTTCAAGAGTTCGAACTGTTCGCGGCGCTCCTCTTGGTCTTCTGTTGATCAGTTCACCCCGCCTGCGAAGTGATTCAACCCAACGAAGGATGGTGTTTCGAGAGGGAATAGCTCTATTCCGATGAATGTTGAAGTGGCGACGAAACTCACGCTGTAAGACGATGACTGACTCATTATTTCGGACGAAACTATCATAGGCGAAAACGCGGTGCTCCACCGTCCAAGACTCCATAACGACAACGGGTAAAATAATGCTAGGATCTCACGAGTCAAACGGCACCCTCCCCACCTCTATCGTAGACGGAGGCGGAGAGTACTACCCATCCCAAAAACGTCCGTCCTCTCTGCCGCACCCTGTACTTGGGATCGATACTGCAAGCGAACGCTTCCACGTTTAAAAATGCTGGATGTCATCATATAACCACCAGAAATGCTAGCACAAGCTACTTATAAAACATATTGGTTGGCACGCAAAGTAACATTTTGCGCTCTCAATACACAAAACCGTAATGTTCAAGAAAAACGTTAAATAGGACGGTTAGAGAAAATTAGGCTCGAGATGGGATGACCTTCAGAAGGTGGTGTTTTTCTTCAGAGATATTTTTACCTTGTCTATGTTGATAGTGATGATGGAATCTCATCAAATTAGGAGTCTGCTGGACAACTGGTCGATAAAGTGTATTTTATGAATTCGTTTTCGTAGCCTTAAGCCCATAGCAAAAGAAACAAAGGAACATTCAGTTATGATGAATTTAGTACAACAATTTTTATCTCTTGTCTCTTAGGGTTAATGAGTAATTAATCGAAAGTTGCAATCGTTGAAAAAATGATTGATCATTTGTTGGACCTCCGCGATGTCTTATCCGCTGAGAAGTATGACTTGGCATACTTCGAATGATATGACCAATTTCATCTTGAGATATCTTATCCCAGGCTACTTGCACCACGAGCCGAAGTGCCACTGGAGTCTGTGGATGCTGGGTAAATGGAGTAATATTCTATTGTGTACTTGGTTTTCGGACCATATTAAAAAATAAATTTGATGATTGTTTCTCAGAGAGTTTAAAAACCATCATGTAGTGCCTGAAAAGTGCAACGGGAAACGTTTCATTACTTTTTTGATATTTCTTAAAATAAAGTAAAAAAAATAAAAGTGATTTGGCCAATTTTTTTTACCAAACAACTAAGTAAGCCACGAAATTTGTCTCTGCATGTAAGTACACCCAAAGAACGGAACTTTTTCCTGATTTAATCTAGGCTGTATCTACCACAGGTACTGAGATCCCCATGCCTAGGATATTCGTCTTGGACACCCAGGCAAAACATGTTGTTCGATCACCTTCTGGATGTGACGCATGCGATTACATAGAAAATTAAGAATCTTATCCTTCACCTCATCTCCTTCTCACCCTTGCCTAGTACGTATTCCATTCGAGTTCCTAGTTCAGCTGTTTTCTGAAACAAACTAGTCGAGTACTTCAGTGCCTAGGAGAGAGGGTTTAGTATAAACTGAGGATAGTATGAAGTCCAAAACTGTTAATCCGGCGATCACAATCGGCATTGTAGCATGCTGCTAACCTAATCAAACATATACTAAGTGACATATAAATCCGAACACCCAGTTTAAATGGTTGTATTTTAATAAAATTTTGTATAAGTACTTAATGAAGCATAATAAGTAAATGATAAAAATTTCAAAATGATTGCACTGCTTTAAAGCCCTTTGACCTTTAATAATGTGTGGATGCACCCTGATGTGCTACGCGATCTCCAACGCGCCTAGGCATGCTTCTGATCAGGTGGACAATGTCCTCCTGTGGAATCTCATTCCAGGCAACCACCAACTCCTCTCAAAGTGCTTCTAGAGTCTGTGGAGGACGTTGCAAATTGAGCAATCTCCTACCCATCATATCCCACGCGTGCTCAATTGGGGATAAGTCGGGAGATCTTGGTGGCCATGGTAACAATGTGACATCATTATGTTGAAAGAAGTCTATTGTGACTCTTGCAACATGTGGTCGGGCATTATCTTGTTGGAAAGTTGGATCTCCAAGGGTGTTATGATAGGGTAAAAGATGAGGTTCTAGAACTTCGTGGATATAACGCTGCGCGTTCATGTTACCTCTGATGAAGGTTAAAGGTGATCTGGAACCATAAGCTATAGCACCCCAAACCATAACTCCAACAGTGTGATGAACATGTCTTTCAACAAAAAACTGTGGATTCCTCCTTTCACCACGTCGCCTTCTAACCCTGGCACGACCTTTGTGCATGCCTAAACAAAATCGAGACTCGTCACTAAAGACAATACTGTTCCATTCCTGATCCCAGAGTGACCGTTGTCTGCACCACTCAAGGCGATTACGTCGGTGTTCTCGAGTTAAAGGGAGGACCCAGTGTGGCCGGTACGAAAACAAGCCAAAACTTCTCATTCGTCAGTAAACACTTCGCATGCCAATAGGTCTTCCGTGTTCTGCAAACCATTCATTTGCAATGGACCTCGTAGTGGAGAAACGGTCCCTTAAGGCCAATAATCTTAGGCGGCGATCTTCACGGTCTGTTGTTCTACGGCGGCGTCCAGTGCCCCTTGCTCTTTGAGTACGGCCTTCTCGAAGCCATGCCTGACAACACCTAACTACAGTGTCTACACTTCTTTGCACTCTAACTGCAATTGCCCGAAAAGAAAGTCCAGCTTCCCGAAGTCCCACTATACGCCCCCTATCAAACTCAAATCGTACAGGTCTCCGTACTCTAGGCATCGTAACCGATCGTAAAGGATGTCAAGAACCAAAATCCGCCAACGTTGATTCTTTACTGCGGCTGAAATATTCATTTTTAGAGCGTTGGTGAATTAAAAAAAGCAGTATAAAAACCGGAATGTCCAACTGATAAGGCTGAAAATTTTTTCACTTGTTATTTACAGTAAGATAAATACATTCACCAACTTTTATTAAAATAAAACCATTTAAACTGGGTGTTCGGATTTATATGTCACTTAGTACATATCTGGAAAATATTTGTAATACACTCCTTATTACTGCGTGTTCCTTTTTCTATATTACACAGTATATCTCGGTTGTAAGTAGCCTTTATGTTTTTTGGCGTGTTAGAGTCCGTGACACGTTGCACCCTTGAGTTTTAGTTTCATGCTACGTTATCTTGACGTCCCAGGTACATAAACATTGGGCGCAAGCGGACACCGAACAATTAGTGAGGTTTTAAAATTCGTTCATATTGGATCTGTTTGTATATCTAGTATAAGTAAAATAAAAACAAACAAAAAGTTTAAGTTAGAAAAATTAAGATGCTGAATTAAACACAAAATTTTTGGGTAACCCAATCATGTTTCGTCTTCCACACTTACGAGGGATGTCTTTTAAGTTTTGCATATGGAAATAAAACAACACGGTAGGTAGTTTTAAATGACTTTTATTATTCTCCACGAAGATTAATACACATCTGCATGCGCTCGAACCAACTTTCGAAGCACTTATTCCACTCGTTTGCTGGCAGATCCAAAACGGCATTTTTGAATGCGTCAACTGCTCCTTCTGGTGACTGGAACCTTATACCACGCCGTCTGTTTTTAATTTTTGACAAAGTAAAGAAATCGTTAGTACTTAGATCGGAACTAAATGGAGGATGGTCCAATAATTCCACGTTTTCTTCCGTTAAGTACTGCCTTGTATTTTGGGATGTGTACGAGCTTGCATTGTCTTGGTGGAGGATGATTCTTCTTTCAGGGTTGATTTTTCGAAGCTCGGTGATGACTTTTGGCAAACAAATGGTGGTATACCAATCCGCAGTAACAGTTCTTTGCTCATTAAGAGGAATTGTTGCAATATGACCCGCTTTTGACACAAATGTCGCGACCATCTTTTTCGAAACACTTCGAGAACGGATGACTTTTGTTGACTTTTCTTCACCTTGGAACACCCAAACAGCCGACTGTCGTTTATTTTCTGGTTCATAACAGTAAATCCACGATTCATCACCACTAACAATGCTGTACACATTTTTTGAATTTCCGGAATTGAAACGGTCAAGCGTTTTTTGACACCAATTGACCCTGGCTGCTTTCTGCTCTTCGGTCAACAGGTGGGGTATCCAACGAGAAACTAATTTTCTTACTCCTAATTCTTCATGTAAAATTTTTTGAATTGAGGAAGATCTTCAAGGGCGCCTCAATCTCGCGATATGTCACATGTCTATCATCAATGATGAGCTTGCGCACAGCATCGACGTTTTCCTGGGTGACTGCCGTTTTTGGTGCATCCACCCTGGAATCGTCGCTAAGACTCACCCTTCCACGTTTGAATTCTCCATACCAACAGGAAATTGTCAACTGATGTGGCGCTTCGTTGCCGAAAACAGACAGCAACTCAGCAAGGCATTCTAGTTGCGATATTTGTCTCTGAAAGCTGTAACAAATTATGTCGCGAAAATGTTCCCGGTTGAGTTCCATTTTTCTAATGACTTGGTGACACTTAAAAATTCACTGTAGTGAGAACACTGCACGTATTGTTGTGTTTAAGTTTATTAAAGAGTGAGGTTAAGATTCAGTACTGACGTTCGATCCGCGCGGCCTACTATGTTTCTATGTGCAAAACTTAATAGACATCCCTTGTATTATACGAACGAATTTTGAAACCTCACTTTTTTCGGTGTGAGCTTCACGTGAAATGCCTCATTATGAAATAAGCCATAACCTACTCTTTCGTTTCAGTTGAAAGTTGCGAACCTAATACGGAGTTTTTCAATGTGTCCGCGAATGGAACACACTTTATTATACGTTCTACTCACCAGATGGAGAATTTTGATAAAAACACTCCCAAGAAAAGTGGTTTTAAAAACATACACACGCAATGCAGTTTAATGTGCACAAAAGCTGTTAGTACGTTGGTAAGCCCATTGCTTCATTAAACTGGCTTTTAGGGTTACAGGCGTATGTGCCGGAACCTGTTGCAGACTGACAGAACGTCCAGCATACGTTGTACTACATGCGCCTGTCATCTTTACCTCGATATCTGCAAAATTTGTGGCAACGAAAATGTACCTGGAGCATTTCAGTGACAGATATCCTTATAATTTTGATATAAACAACGTAAATAACTGTATAAAAGAAAGTTGCAAATCTGTGGATGTGTCTAATATATTATCATCAGAGGTCAATTTGAATGCAGGGCATTATTAGGTACCTGTAGGAGCAAACAAGAGGTCAGGTCAGGCGATTCAACCGAGATCATCTGGCCGCCATATTTAAAAATAGCTGCCAAGTTGTAGAACGGCTATTCATCATATCAGATCTGCTTTCCAGTGGTTTTTGGTTGGAGAGTGATACGCTCCCGAACTGCTCCAGAAGCAATACATGAGAATACAACCTGCAGTGGAATGGTGCTGAGCAGTACTGAGGTACTCCCAGTTACTCAGAGTAAGTTAGCAGGGCCACTGGAAATCAGCTAAGGTCGGTAAATTAAGTGATGAGGCGGGAAACATAGCATTCGATCTAGCAACACTGGAAGAGCCTGGCTGAAGGGGAACAGGAGAACATAAATATGATCCGACTTCAGTTTAGGCTTGAGATATACGACTCTTTTCTCTGTGCTCGCTCAGGTCGTTCAACTCTCTTTAGTGAGTCGTTCGTTCGTAGTCGTTCATTTGAACGATACGATTACCGACCAGCCTCGAAGCTGACGAGAGAATTGTGTTGCCTATAGTAACGACTCACTGAGTCAGAGAATATACATCATACTATGAAAATAAAATGAAGGGTTGGGGTTGCCGATGTTGTTGTATTTATTTAAGTAGATATTAATATTTTTGGTTGGAATTGAATATAACGAATGTATACTGTCTTCCGAAAACAGAAGGGTTATGTCGTTCGGTTTTGATGAATTACCGAATTCTGAATCAAAATGCAATTTTTACCCTCAAATCCCATCATTTCAACATATAATTTAATGAGATATCTCAAAACAAAACAATTGGTTTCCCCAGATAGTGTCTGTACTGTTACCACGTTGTCAGTTCGCAGTTCAGTTGCTGCATACTTAACATAAGAGACGCTTTGCACAATTGAACGAGCCATATATAAGAAAAATGTGCCGAATGTCACACCCATTTTGAAATACCTATATAAAATCGTTAATTACGATGGAACAAATGTGATTCTTGTTCAGTAAGTTTGGAAATTGTATGGTCTAAGTGAACAGTGAATGTATTTCAATGAACTCCATCAGATGTCTATGTAGTGACAGATCATTTCCAATGATGCATTTCCAGTACCTATTCAAAAAAATGTGTTCCTAATATCGCACTGGTATGCGATATTAGGAATACCTTTTTTGTGGGATAATGTAAGTGGAACAAAGTATGCTAAAACCATTTAATTGAATATCAGACTAAATAAATACATATTATTTCTTAAAACAGACACTGTACAAGTCAGAATATAAAAGAAAGGTCAAACTACAAGCAAAAGTCACAAACAAAGTTTTGATAATCATCAGTCCCTGAGCACTCTTCATGACACCAGACTCTACAATAGATACAGGCAATCCACTTTTCGCCCGCTCTGTCGCTCGGATAGGTTTCATTGCAGTACGGACACTCGCAATTAGCTTTACTCTCTTCATCATCTGTGGAAACTGTTAAATCTCCGGCTGTATCATTATCTGAATGTGAAGGGGTTACTGATTGCTTTTTTGTTTTCTCTAGTCGCTTTTTGGTCCCTTTTGACTTCATTGTACGGCTTTCACTTTCCTTTTCAGCTGGAGCTTCATTTTCTTGATTTGCGAAGCATTTCCTAGCCACATTTCCGACACATTTCCTTTGCAGTGTTTTAGCTCCTTTTCCATTTGATTTGTGGGCTTTGCTCAAGTCATTAGCCAGGCTATCCTTATAAGGTGAACTGGTCAGCAGAGCAGCTGTACTTGCTTTTCTGCCTCGGATAGGGTTCATAGGTGACTTTGATGTATAAGACATAGGGCTGATATCTCTTAGTAAGACTAAATATCCCTCTAAATTGTTCTGAATTATGCGGCAGCTTGGTTGAGACTCTCTATCTTCTACTTGGATTATGGAAGTGTTTGATCCTGTGGAACAAAATCGCTACCATTCGTATCAGAAACGAATTCATGAGTCTGGAAAATCCATTTGTTGCTGTTGCGACCGTTGCTGCTTGATTGTAGGCTTCTCCAAAAAGTCTTCCAGCTTGGTAATGTGTAACGACTCTACCACTGTTTTAAAGGCTTTGTCAAGCGGCTGCGTTGTATGGGTACAATGCGGAGGTAAGGAAATTATACGCACTCCATTTTCTCGTGTAACTTCAAGCAGTTCTAAATTCCTGGTGTGCGAGTAGTGCCCATCCAAAACCAGTACGGCAGGGTCATCTTTGCTGGGCTTCACGTTATGCAAAAACCGTTGTCTAAACCACTGCTGGAAGCTATCCATTTGAATCCAGCCGGATTTATGGCATACAGCGATGGATCCATTTGGGGTTCCATCTAGCAATTCAGCTTTCATATTAACCCTGGGAAATACGAACAGCGGTGGAATATAATGCCCCGCTGCACTCATACATGTCACTACAGTAACAAGTGAACCTCTTTCGGCAGGCGAAAGTGCGCCAACTTGTCTCTTTCCCTTTAAGGCTAAGACTTTACTTGTTTTGTGTTGCACAATGGTGAGCCCCATTTCATCGTAATTGTACAGCTTATTTGGCAAATGTCCAATGATGTCCATTAAAGGCTCAAATATGTCAAAAAAACGTCAACCTTTTCTTTCTTAAACCCCCTTATTCTTCATTGAGATTGTTTCTGTTCTCCGGAAGCTTAAATTAGGATGCCCTTTCATGAAAGAGCGGAGCCACTTCCATCCTTGCGGACTGGTCCTTTTCAGCTAACGGGTGCGGAAGGCCATTTCGTTCTACGAGAAGGAATGCCATCCTCTTGGTTGTTGAGCCATAAAGATGCTTCTCAATTTCGAGGCAATAAGAAATCAAAATATTTTCTAATTTGTCGCCCAAGATGGGCTAGCGGCCAAGCTTAGTTCCAACTAATTTGTTAATGTCTTTGACTTTGCTATTCACTTTATCTTCTAACGTCGACTTTGGGACTCCAAAATGATTTGACGCTCGGAGCAGTCCCATTTCTTTTCCTCGCACAGTCAATATCGCCCTTTTCATATTGTCCGCAGTCCATTGCTTACGCTTTCTTTTTATTCTTCAGTATAATGCACAGTATGTTCTAACAATTGAGAATGGTTGCAAAACTCATTTAGTCTGCACAAAGCCGTTTAAGTGATAGTCATGGAGTTTGCAGCCGTGCACTGTAACAAGGACATATTAGCATCATTCGCAGAACAGTCAGTTCCGATTGGTAACGGTTTCTGACTGTATTTTGACATCAGGGCGTATGAATTTTGTTTACGTTACCGTAGCAGAATGAACGGAATTCATACGGCGGCGGGATCACATATACAGTCAATGACAGTCATCAACCGTCACTGACTGCTCTGCGAATGAAGCTATTGACTATCATCCCTAATACCGTACAGGGCACTATTAGGCTAGCTCCAGGTGTGCGATATTAGACATACATTGAAACAACAATATGGCCACCTCTACGATAAAAATAACAAACCCTGTGAGAGTTTAAAGGACACATCCTCAAACTGCATAATATGAACTACATGTTAGGTTGAAAAATACTTTTAGTAGTACTTACCTTTCGTTCGTTAAATTGAGCCTAACTGTACGTGTTTAAATATACTAAGTGACATATAAATCCGAACACCCAGTTTAAATGGTTTTATTTTAATAAAGGTTGGTGAATGCATTTATCTTACTGTAAATAACAAGTGAAAAAATTTTCAGCCTTATCAGTTGGACATTCCGGTTTTTATACTGCTTTTTTTAGTTTACTAACGCTCTAAAAATGAATATTTCAGCCGCAGTAAAGAATCAACGTTGGCGGATTTTGGTTCTTGACATCCTTTACGATCGGTTACGATGCCTAGAGTGCGGAGACGTGTACGATTTCGTCAACTTAGTGAGTTTGATAGGGGCCGTATAGTGGGACTTCGGGAAGCTGGACTTTCTTTTCGGGCAATTGCAGTAAGAGTGCAAAGAAATATAGACACTGTGGTTAGGTGTTGTCAGGCATGGCTTCGAGAAGGCCGTACGCAAAGAGCAAGGGGCACTGGACGCCGCCGTAGAACAACAGACCGTGAAGATCGCCGCCTAAGATTATTGGCCTTAAGGGACCGTTTCTCCACTACCAGGTCCATTGCAAATGAAAGGTTTGCAGAACACGGAAGACCTACTGGCATGCGAAGTGTTTACCGACGAATGAGAAGTTTTGGCTTGTTTTCATACCGGCCACACTGGGTCCCCCCTTTAACTCGAGAACACCGACGTAATCGCCTTGAGTAGTGCAGACAACGGTCACTCTGGGAACAGTATTGTCTTTAGTGACGAGTCTGGATTTTGTTTAGGCATGCACGATGGTCGTGCCAGGGTTGGAAGGCGACGTGGTGAAAGGAGGAATCCACAGTTTTTTGTTGAAAGACATGTTCATCACACTGTTGGAGTTATGGTTTGGGGTGCTATAGCGTATGGTTCCAGGTCACCGTTAATCTTCATCAGAGGTAACATGAACGCGCAGCGTTATATCCACGAAGTTCTAGAACCCCATCTTTTACCCTATTATGACACCCTGGCAGATCCAACTTTCCAACAAGATAATGCCCGACCACATGTTGCAAGAGTCACAATAGACTTCTTTCAACCTAATGATGTCACATTGTTACCATGGCCACCAAGATCTCCCGACTTATTCCCAATTGAGCACGTGTGGGATATGATGCGTAGGAGATTGCTCAATTTGCAACGTCCTCCTCAGACTCTAGAAGCACTTCGAGAGGAGTTGGTGGTTGCCTGGAATGAGATACCACAGGAGGACATTGACCACCTGATCAGAAGCATGCCTAGGTGCGTTAGAGAATGCGTAGCACATCAGGGTGCATCCACACATTATTAAAGGTCAAAGGGCTTTAAAGCAGTGCAATCATTTTGAAATTTTCATCATTTACATATTATGCTTCATTAAGTACTTAAACAAAATTTTATTAAAATAAACCATTTAAACTGGGTGTTCGGATTTATATGTCACTTAGTATATATTCGTGTGATACGATGACGCACACGCCCGCTACTTCTATGTCTATTGTCAAACAACGTTTATCTGTTTACTCAGTGGGTTAACATGTTTAAGTTAATATATTCACCGTGAGATGGCTACGTTGCCAAGCAAAAATATGGATGGGTGCGATATTAGGACTATCTGCGATATTTGGCACATATCCCCTAACAAAAGAGTCGTTCAATCATCGCTCACTTATATGAGTCCTTCATTTTGAACTACTCGTTTGGGAACTACACATGACTACTTCAGTGCAAGTTTGAACATGCTTGAGTCATTTGGTTGTTCGTAGCGATTTTTTTTGCGAAATAGTTTTTTCTATTGTGTTTTAACAATGAATGACATCAATTTCAAGCAACGGTGTGGAAGGAAAGGGAATAAAATGCGCTTTAAAAAGCTTAAATCAACCCTCTGATTACGAAGATACGTTGAATAACTGTTTTACACACTGACGGACATTTATAAATATGGTGGCGAGATGACCACGATTTTGACCGCGTGACTTGATTTGTTATATACTCCTACAATGGTGGTCTAAGTGGCTGTTTACAGTCTGCTCTGGAGAGAAAGAAGCAACTTTTGTAGTTTGTTCAAGCAAACTGTTTAAACAAGGTTGCACAGGCCCGGCACTATCCTGATTTATATCGAGGGGCATCTAACAATCGTAGCTATGAAAAACCTTCACCCAGTGATGCGAGATAGGAAAACTTGAAGTGAAGCTTTTCTTAAATTGATTCTTACCATTTCAGCCGATTGACTTTCATGTCTCAGATTACAACAATCATGATCCCGAATTCTCACAAGCGAGCTATTCATATGAAGTGCCATCTCCAATCATGTTAAAAACAGACTTCACTATTTATGGGAAAAGTGTGGTAACAGAGGATGTGGATTTTTCAAATCAAGATGTGCAATACACCATCGACCCAGATGATTTTTTAGTAGTGACTATAAAAGATGACGAGACAAAAAAATACACAGCAAAATTTGAAGCCAAAAATAACATTCAACTTAGTGAAGAAAAGGTGTACACGATAACAGCTACGGTAAGTTAAGACAATAAAAATGAATTAAGATTAGAATGAAAGAACTGGTGATTGGTGGAAGGTAGTGAGAGTAATGAATCAAATAGTGTATGTTACAAGCAGATTATGAAAAACTCTCAACGAAGCGCAGTAAGCGTGTTTAATGTGTGTGTTGGCCGGGTCGTTATTCAGCCTCCAGCTGTTATAGACACTAATTAGATGAAATAAAAGGGATTGTAACCTAATGCATTTTTTCAAATAACGACATTTATACAATAACAACTGGTTTACCCTCTTCCCATCTGGTGGTGCACGTGTATTTTTTTGTATAAGGTATTTTAAGAATTTTGTCTCTTTAAATACAGGTATAACTAGAGAAGGTATGACAGAGCAGCGGTAGATCCCATCTTTTTGCCATTTCTCCCAACGCTTGAGAATCCTATTTTCCGACAACGTCCAACCTCATATTGTTGGATCTAGGACGGACTACATTGATAACGCTCAAGTCGTTCTCCTTCCTTGGCCTCCTAGATTTCCAGACCTTTCACCCATTGAACAAAAGTAGGACGTGGTATATGTATATAAAGACGAGCGGCCTCTTTACCTCATCTTTCACACTCTAATAGCTTTTCGATACAAAGTACGTCTAGCTTGGGATGAGATACCTCAAAAAGACGTAATTCACTTCAAAATGTAATCACTACTTGCTCTTGATCATGTCTAACATGTAGTTTCACTCAAATAAAATCTTTCTCACTGGACATTGAGTATATTTGACTCGTCAAGTAATTTGAAGTTTATGAAGGTGTTTAAAGGTGGTCATGAATTCAATCGTTTTACTATTACTACAAGTATTATCAGAACAATCTCATAATTGAACTTCTATGTGAGGCTTTGCAAATGCACCAAATGAAAAATACATGCAGATTTTATCAACTCCGTTTGTGTATCAAAATAGCTTCAATCCTTCAGGTTACCATGAGCTTTCTTAAGGTTTTTCTTATTACATGTATATATTTTTGAGTAATTTATATCCTTGAAGCTACATTCTGTTCTTACACTGCTGCTCATACGATACACGCTATCTATTAGACAAATGAAAAAAAAACAGCCTCCAAGTGAATCTCGTGTTGACATTTCATATTTGCAAAGCAGTATTGATACCTGCCCCCAATACAGATAAAAATAGTAGTACCTACCTAAACTTAATAATATAAAACAGTAAGAAACCGCACATAGATCGGTTCGTCTCTTTCACAGTGGTTCACAAGCTCTATAATATGGTCAGAAGTAGGAACATTCATCAAATTTCGCCAAAGAGATAGTGTCAGGTAGGTTAAAGGATTCAGTGAATCACAAGCTAAACAGAAAGAATAAGAAATTAGGTACGAACCTGTACAAAAAAGAAATTAACCGGCTCAAGTCAGTCAAATAGGCCAATACAAATAGTCCATAGATATTAGTCACCGTGAATTTGTAATCGTTGCCCCTTCCCATATCGTTAGCCGCCCCAACCCAAGCACCGCAGCAGTACGAGCAGAATAATCAAGCTGGTCGTTACGCCGGCGTCGAGCTCAGATTGTAAAAAGAGGCACATTTCGAAAACATTTCTCCATTGTTCTAAGTTTTAACGACAAATGTATAGGGAAATCGATTATATGTGACATTTGTCTATTAAGTGGGTATAATTAGCAAGACTGGGAGCGTATAAATAAACTAACATCATAAATTTGAGATATAACTTCCATCACCTCCCTATCACCCCCACCCCCTAATTTTATACCCCTAAAATTTTTCTCTAAAATGATCAGGATCCTCTGAAATGCTAAAAAACTAAATGTGAGCGAGTTTTATTTTTTCGTTTTTGGCCTTTTTCTCCTCCGCCACTGGACCGATTTTCGTTCCTTTCCATCGTAGTTACCTTGTGTAGAGACTTAATCCAAATCCGAGCAGTGCTTTCTAAGCTATAGACAAGCGTGATGTCATATAACATCCAAAAAACTTTAATATCTCATTTTGGAAATTTTTCGCGACTGCAACACTTTCTCGCCCACTGGCGTAGGAAGAAAAAAAGTCAGTTACATAATTTGAGCTAACCGATAATGAATATGATATCCGTTTATCAAAAATCAAAACGTCGGACCCATTACGGTGAAGATGCTTGCAAAAAATTTTTTGAATTGGAAGTTTGAGTTTTGTATGTCTTTGAGGTCGCTGGTAACGAGCTAGGTGTCGATTTCTTCGAAATTAAAATGACGGGTCCTATACAGCAGACGTGCTTGCAAAAAGTGCTCCGATTGATTTGGAACATGAGTTTTGTGGTTTAGGATCGCTAATCACAAATTTATTGTCCATTCTCCAAAAATCAAAATGGCAGATCTAATGAGGCGGACAGATGTGCGCTCGCCTAAGGAGCATGTTGGTTACAATTGAAATGTCAGGAATGGAGTCAGAGGTAATAATATTTGAAGAATGGGCAATAAATTGGAAAGATAGAGTTGTGTGAACACATCTCAATATCTGAAAGAAAAAAGTCATTCATAAAATTATCATACATAAGCTGTTATCGTAAACGTAGTATCGTATATCGTACTGTGTTTGAAATTATCATACAAAAACGATAGTTATCGTACGTTTGAAGCCCTTAGTTATAGTATCTAGGCTGGTACTTATGGCATCTTTGACTGGTATGATCCAGCAACGTTGTCAGATGATCGACACTTTCGGTAGGGCAGGAAAGAAATCTAGAGTGTTATCCAGTGGGTGGACTAATTGTATGGGCCCTAGCTTAGTTGATCCATTTAATCTTTGTGTTATACATATCCGTAGTTATCTTTTCCTCAGAAGGCTTAACATGTGTCGAACATAATCCTTTGCGGACTAACTGAGGAAAGTCTTGCGTGGGAAGTCTAGGGTCAACCTAGCCGGCGCGATATCTTCTAAACTCTCTTTGAATTCATTATGAATTATTGAGATAATATCAATTTCATATTTATTTCGTATCGTGGTTGTATTGGTTGGCATAATTATCCATACTTCCGACTCTGCAACCTACTTTGCCATATCTCAACGCTGTTACGTCTCGTGTGGGCCGCATGGCCTCTGAACTAACGCGCAACCATCACACACTCAGTGACGCGATTCTTGCTGTTATCAAGCAACATTGAATCGACAGGATACAGCACGGGTATCATGTAAAGAAACGTCAAAAAAAACCTATAAGATGTCAACTTGCAGACTAGGTAGTTTTTAGGGCGCAAATAGTCATTCCACGTTTGCTCACTAGGATCGTTACGAACGTCCATCTATGGAGCAATCACTCAACTAAACTACACGCATTATTGGTTGCATAATCTTGTGATCCGTGCCTCTAGTTTTTATCTCAGAAATAAGTTGGTCGAATAGCAAGATCGCATCTGGATGATTATGTGTATTGGTCTGCATGTGTGAGAAAATAATTATTGAATATGCTGAATATGACAGGTTATCTATAGGTTGTGCTTTCTGAAGAGAGGCTATGTTCAAAGTTACAAATTACCAAAAACTGAGGAGAATTACGGGAAATCATCACCGCGCCCGCGTTGTGTGTAATTACTGCTAGCAGGTATACATGTATGACTTCGACAGTGTACAGTGAATATAATTATTTCTGATCTCTCTCATTTTTTAAATTCAGCAAATGTGTATATGTAATTTCCAGAATGTATAAGGAAATGTGGCTGGGCAACTAATTTCTAGCTTTGAATCTCGATTAAGTGTATTTGGGACAAGAATCTAATGGAATTATCATCAGCACATACAACTTACAGCTTGGAACCTCGAGTAATGCCATCTCTGCAGCAGATTTTACATAACATCAGAGCCAAACATTGATAACTAAAGCCTTATGACGTTTAGGCAACGCGTACAACTAAGTCCTAAGTTAACATCTTGTAGAAAAACCTACGTAATGTCAAAAAAAACACTATAATGTCAAGAAAAAATCGATATAATGTCACTACTCAAGATACATGATACCAGTGCGGATGTTAATGGATCATTGGTGGCGTGGGCGAAGGTTCCAAAACAAATTGTTTTCTGAAAAACCTTCTCGCTTTTTCCAACAGCAACTATCACCCATAGAGCAGACACCAACTGCTGATTGCGTGGAGACCTTCTGGAGGCACGTTTGTGAACTGCTGGTTATTTTTAAACCTGGTACTATTCAATCATACACTTTTTCGCTATATTTCTGCTAATGTTATCAAAATATGACGTATGCCCTCCCTATAACTATATAACTTTTGGGAGTATTCAGCTCTGGGGCTTGTCAATTGTTCCAGCAAGCGGGAAATCATTTCCTGGCAATGAGGACTCAAACGAATATAAAATAAATACACGTTGTAGCTCACTAACTCCTCCTTCTCCCCCTTGTGGTACTTCGGGGTTTCTTCTGGGCCATCACTGACTAAGACTCAGGCGACTAGTGGACAACCTCTTTATAAATACATATCTCTTACAAATCCTATACATCTGTAGGACACTGGCGAGATTCCTGGTCCAAGAAGTACCAGTGCTACAATTCGATTGAAACCTAACAAGGATCAGAGTTTGGACATGCCGTCATTCGAACTGCCCCAGTATTCGTTTTTATATAAAGATGAAAGCAGCGGTCTTGATCCTAGTGATGTATCGCAAAGAACAATTAAATTGAAGACAACCAAACAGGATATCGTTCAAAACAATTTGAGGATCACTGGAGGTATGATCTATCATCATTAAAGCATATCAAGAACATCACTAACAAGATCATGTTTTCAAGACCATTCTATGAGTGTTTTTCCAGTCAGTTCTAAAAGGATTGGGCCGCTTTCCTTGGATAATTTAGGAAAGGAGTGGCGAATTAACAAAAAAAAGTAATACAAATTTTTAGAGAATTGAACAGGATTGGATGATTTTTTTTTATTCTTCACTCAACACAGTGATCCAGCTAGTCGGAAAAGCGGCAAAAGATTTATATACAGGGTCTTTTCAAAGTTGTATATACCAAAAGTCACCTATATAAAAGCTGCATAATAAAAGAGTTACTTTACATTACTAAAAATTATTTAAAAAGAAATTACTATGACCTGTTCAGACTTTAACTTGAGCTGATGTGACTCTTGTACTCATTGTTGGGTCGTCTTCGACCTTTAAATTTCTAAAATGTCTTCCTTTCTAACATTTCGGGTGGAGCAGCTCTTCCGACGTGTTATTTTAAATATCCTGTGTCACGATGTCTAATAACTAAATTTACAAACATCCGTGGGTCCGGATGATTTCTTAAAGGAAACCTTTCCGCAGACAAGCTGCATGCTGCTGCTGCACTTTGTTGGCACTCTCTGTATGTTAGAATTATGTGTTTTCGTAAACATGGACCATTTTTTCGCACAAAACAAATGAAAGTATACGCACTACTAAAATACTGACACAACTGATCGAACCAGAGACACGTGCTGACAACCATACAATAACACAGAAGGTTTGACAAATTGAGATAAACGATAAGAGTAATAAACACAAAACGCTAACATTTGAGGCGGCAGTGGTCGAAAATATAAAAAATCTGTATAATAACATTATTTTTGAAGAATTTCAATCTTTTACTATTTATTTTATTATACAAATTTTATATCGGTGATTTTTTGTACCTATATCAACTCCTTTTGACGAATCCGACAAGCAGTTAAAATAATGACTCAGCTTTGAAAACATCCTGTATAATATAGTATTAGAATCACTACCAGAATCTGTAGATGCCTAGAGAAATAAATAATGCCAGCATATTTGAAAATGGCCGCCAAATTTTACAACAATTGTTCAACATATCTTGTTAACCTTGGTTCTGATTTTAAGATCTTAGATGTATTCAAGCTACTAATGAAAATTGTGTCCGTGATTATTGCTGCCGTGCTGAGCACAGAGAGACTATCTGCAAGTAACACGAAACCGAGAAAGAGGCGTCCAAAGTTTGAAACCCTGTTTCGTTCGTGCAGATACGTTAAACAAATATGTGGGATTCTAAGAAGACCATTGTATGTTGCACTCAAAGAACTTTGTCAATGAGCAGAGAAATGACAATGAGTTACTCGGTATCAATAACGAAAAATGTTCGAGAATTGCAGATACCCCATTGGTGCTTAGCACAGTAGCTTGAAACCTTTTGCAAAACTTATCGAGATCCACTAATTTATATTTTATCAAAGTTCGCCATATAGATCAAAACGAGATATTATAAAATGGGCATTATATTTTGTCGAAGCGAAAAAAGGATGTCCACTGTCCACTATTTATTGTGCTTCCATGAATTCTATCAAACGTTCCATCATTTTCAGAACTGAAGAACTACCTCAGTCCACAATATGATCCAGTAACCTCAACAGTATTCTTGAAGCTACTCCTTCCAATAAGGACATCATCTGCTTTTCTGATATCAACTTTGAGCGTAACCACCGACAGTACAGCGACTACGTCAATCATAGTTCACATACAGTCTAACAGCAAAGACGCGCCTCGGTTTACGGAAGTGCTGTTCACAGGACACTATGATCCAGTTGAGGAGGAAGTAGATCTGGATATGCCTATTGAAGTATCAAGCGAAGCTGCAGTGAAAGTTACTGTACTAGTTGGAGGTATTAATCCATAGAACATACAGAGTGATTCAGAAAATAGTGACAATGTATATAGGATGTAAACTCAAGCAGAAATAACATGAAAGGTAGTGAGGATATAATTTCGAAATAGAAAATATATACCGGGTGTTTCAAATTCGACCCTCATCATTGGGATCTCGGAAATAGTAAGAGATAGGAAGCCGGTTAAATGGGGACACAGTTGTGTATTTAGGTAACTAACAAAATGCCTCTTATAAAATTCCGAGATTCACAGTTCCTACGAAGAGACAGAAAAAAACGAATTTTCCAAGAATCGTTTTAATTTTTTACTGACTTTATTTGTTGGGGATTTCAAAATAAAATGCACATTAACGATAACTTCCATCGCCAACCTTATTTTTTCATATGGACGCTATATTGGAATATCTATGATTATTGTTATTATCATGAATTACATTTTCATTTTGCGATTAGGTTTCACAAATAAAGCCAGGAAAAAAACAAGAATTATTTTGTGATATATCTGGTATACAAAACAGATACTTATCTGGTAATATCAAGTCTTACCTAGTAAGTTCGCTTTCTTTTGGCAACGTCAATGCATTACACATTATATACGTACAATTTTGGAATCAGAATTGGAAACTCTATTTATCTGTGCAGTAATTCAAAATGGCGTCCTTAGGAGAAAATAAATTTGATGCTGGAGGACAACAGGTGACGACGTATAAAGGAATTCTAGCTATATTAAGTACTTTGAATTTTGAGTATCTTCAGAGTAGATTAAGATATTGACTCAACATTTTGTATCTATGTCGTACTAACAGAATAGCCAATAAAGATAAAACTATTCGTGTCTGTAGACCAGTTTCGTAGACATTTTTTGATACCTATAGACGAAGAAAAGGTATTGTTCTCTACACCACTGACCTTTTCAGAATAGCTATTCCATTTTTGATTAAGGTACACAATATAGAAAAAATGCTAGTAAAATAACAAGCGGTATTTATGTCTCAGAGCACTCTTAATGACTGTATATTTTGCTCTTGCATAAGCTCAATTATTTTATGCAATTCTGGCATAAGGTCATTCCACGGGGCTCGCAGGCCTCTTGCATTAGAAAGAAAAGCAATATGAATTGTAGCCGGATTAGTTTTCAGCTTCAGCTTTTGAACATCATTATTTCAACGTTACCATTACTATACTACAACTATTTAAAACTGTAATGACTCATACGCGTGATCAACACGTGATCAGAGCTCGATCCCGGCTTCCTTCCAGTACAGCCGTATAGCGTACGACATATGTCGTTTCTGTGGCTTTGCGGTGGTCAACAGCACAGACAGAGATGGAAATAATGGCTGATTGTTCTCCGCCGGTAGAACCAATGAAATCAAAGACGCGCCTCGACCGGCAGACTCATAGGCGTCGGCAACGCATTGGAACGTGTTTCGTTGAGCGATCGCATATTGTGTGTTTTTATAAGAATTATTGTGTGATTGTTATTGTTGTGGTTTCTGTGGTTACTGTTTTGGTTATACTTAACCATGGAGAGTACAAATGGCACGAGTGGAAGTACTGAAAGCCAGGAAACAAGTAGACGGCTTCGTAAAGCACTGAAGAGGGACGCGAAAGAAATCGTGATCAACGTGTTCAATTATCTGAACAGAACTATGTCGCAGGAAGATGCACTCGCGCGTTGTAAAAGTATGACAGGCGTTCCAGAGTGGACCATTCGCAGGGTGGTGCACGAGTATATAGTAATAGAGACTGAATCAAATTACATAGAAATGTATAAATCGCACAAAAAATCAGTAGCTCGACATCGAATTTTGAATTTAAAGTTGATTATTCACTCCGCGCTATTTTACGACTTTGGATGGTCATAAGTCATTTTATGGAGAAGCTTTGTACAAACCATTGATCTCATCTGATTAAGTATGCTATACAGGATCGAATCGATCTTCTCTTGTGTTATTGTCTCAACAAACAAAAAAGTTATCACGATAGTTCTGCGCCATTGTAGGTAATTCAGCAAAAAAAAACGAAAAAAATCATATCTCGGAAACCGTAGCACTTAGAGCATTACGGTTTCCACCAAAAATCATCAAACAGCGTCCTCAGTTACCCATACTATTTTGTCGGTTCATGTAAGAAACACCCTGTATATCAGAAAATCTGTTGCACATCAAGAGAAATTACTTCACACATGAGGGTAGTCAAGGACTTGATTTGAGAAACAAAGTACACTTCAAATGGTCCTGGGTACTGGGTAATAAAATTATTTAATGTTGTATTAGAAAATTTAAACAGGCTACATATAGAAACAGTTTATGCAGACATGAGACATATTTTATTGAGAAAATGCTTCTATTCGATAGAGGAGTTGGAGTTTATAAATTGTAGATTTGACCAGATGTAAATCTTTTACATTTATTCTGTTGACGTATTTAGAAGGAGATTTTGTAAAAACATTAATAAATGAGTATATTCTGAATATCTATTTTACAGTTGAAGACACAAGTAGATAAGGTGTCATATGATATTCTTTTAAAACTGCTTTTTTGCATTAGACTAACCTTAAGGAGTGATTATTTCATTCTGTGATTACCTTATTGCAAAAACAATATAGCAATAACAAGCTAATTAAACTAAATATTTGGAATGTCAATAAAGGAAAAAGTCCCAATAAAACATGTTTAAAGTCAATTTTCTCCATACAATGATTCAGCGACAACAATTTTTAACACATAAAAGGATAATTTGTTTGATGTTCAATACAACATTTTTTTGTTTTAACTGCAAATCTCCGTCTATGCGAAAAAATCATAGCTATCAAACTTGCCATTCCTTCAGAACATTTTTGCATTATACATCTATTTATGAACAAAATCTATTTTGCATGGCCACACATTTCTCAATTCACCGTCGAGATTTATTTATTTATTTATTTATTTATTAGTCATATTATATAAATCATATTTATGACAAGTCATTGGAAGTAGAATCCATAACGTGAAAAAGATTCAAAATAAAAAAACGAGTGTACTTAAGACAGAAATCACAAACGAAATTAAAAATTGTAAGTAAAAAAACTCCTCGACTGAGTAAAAACATTGATCGAGGACGATTGACTTCATTTGTTTTTTGAATTGCATACAATTCAGCTCACGGATGGTCTGACGTAGCTTATTGTAAAAAATGCCAGCTATAATCCTCACTGCACGTCTTTTGAATTTTGAATGCACGCACAACGTGACGTGATCCTCTCCAAATCATGATGCCATAGATCAGATGAGAGTGAAAATGCCAAAATATGCCGTTAAAAGGACTTCTTGCGTAGAGATACATTTTAATTGTCGCAATACGAATAACTGCGCTGAACGTTCTTTACATAAAGATTCGACATGAGCATCCCATTTGAGAGCCCCATATATTTTGATTAAAAGAAGAGAAGCTGCTTCGTTTTTATTTAACCGACTGTTTACCAACTTCCTATTTTGAATTCAGTATCTATAGTGTTTTATGTTCATCTACAGGGTATCCGCAAAGTTGTTTTCAGAAACAACTACCCTTGAAATAACAAAGGTAATATGTAGTGAAACGATTGCGACCAAGTAAAAAAAAATAAAGGAAAAAGTACTCACTCTCCAGTTGACGAGAAGGGCTAAGTACGTCTCTGCCCGAAATCATACCGCTCCAACAGAAAATGAAATCAGCTGATGTGCTACCGAGCAGATGCAGAAACCACATTGATTGTCTTACACTTAATGACACATCTTCTAACAAGGAAGGCAAAATATTGCGTATAAAGTCTAGGTATTGCATCCCGTCCAATTTGGGAGAATAAATGGTCCAATGAGCATACCGTTCACCATGCCAGCCCAAACATTCACCGAAAATGTTTGTTGAAAATGTGCCCGACGGACAGCGTGCGGATTTTCTACTGACCAAACATGAGTGTTGCGAAAGTAATTCACCCCATTACACGTGAACGTAGATTCGTCTGTCACCAATATGCACTTCAAAAAGTCCGGATTATTGTCATGTTGATGCAACAGCCACTCAGAAAACCGCACTCTTGCTGGAAAATCGTCAGGTTGAAGGGCTTGTACACGTTGGACGTAAAACGGATACAGCCCCTCTTCACGCAGCGTTTGCCACACTTTAGTTTTTGATACTTGCACTTCTCTAGCCACGTCTCTAGTGCTTGTTGAGGGATTCTCGTCTACGCGATTACCTCTACATGCGTGACCGTAACCGTCGGTTGAAGGTTGCATACTGACCTGACACACTGACCCCGACCCAGTTCTGCCGTCGGGTTGAGACCTTGTACCAATCGGTATGTCCCGGGTCGCGGCTACAGGACGGTATTCAGATATTTTTGATGTTGCGGAGCCCTTTATCTCGGTTCCCTTAAGACATTGGTGTATATGGTACTAAGAAAAGTTGCTTATGTTACACGTCGTGTAAAGGAAAACCCCAACTTTGCGGACACCCTGTATAAGATGCCTTAGTGGAAAAAGACTCAAGAGTGCTCTCAAGAATTTCTTATTGGATGGTGTATTTTTCTTCGTACAGGAGCTCTTTGACGCATGTACCTGTTTATAACTTAGTTGGTATGTCTTGTATGTGGATATAATTAAGATTATATTTTACATGCCCAAACTTTGTACCTGTTCAAGTTATTTACTTAAGAACTATGTGATATATGTTGAGTCGTGACTTTCCAATATCTGTATATTGTAGGTTTCTTTAGGCTAATAAATTAATTGAATTGAATGGAATATAAGTATGAGTATGATTACAAACCTTGCACTAGCGCAAGACTGTTTTCGCCAAAACAAGACGCTATATCACGTTTATCCTTTTTGATGAGCATGCAACTCACAAAAATTGCTGCTGCGCCGTTCCTTTATAGGCGGCCCTCTAGGCATAATATCCTCCGAAGCCTTTGTTCGGGCCACAGACCCTGTATGCTAAATATGGTATAATTATTACAGAAAACAGCGACTACTTCTCGGCTGAACACGAAGATGGTCATTTCATTATAATTGTCACCAAACCGTTGCCGCCAAGCATACTACAAGAACAAAAAGCTATTTTATTGAAAATGGAAGCAACCTCCGACAATGGTGTTGGCTACGCAAACCTAGCAATCAGTTTACCTGCACCACCAAAATTTGACAAATCATCTTACTCTATCGAGTATGATGCAAAACAGAACAAAATAAATATGAATGGAAGCATTAGCGTGGCATCGATGGATGGAAATTTAAGTTTGACGCTGAAAGGAGGTGAGTAGACTTTCGAAGTGAAACAGTATTACATTCAGTAAGTAGTAATTGCATTTTTGAGACTGAAGTGGGTCTCACTGTTTATCAGATCCATATTAAGCTCAAAATAACGACTCTTGCGAGTGGTTCGCACGGGTGGAATTTGGCCCACAGCAATCACTGACACTGAAACAAGAGATTCTTGGATCTCTTCAAATTGTTTAGAACTACTTATATTCTAACAAAGTTATTGCATCTAAACGATCTGGATTTCATAATACAGCTTCGTCTATGATTTAACAGACAATATAACAGTAACCAGCGAAAAGCTCTCATACTTCTTAACCTTAATAAAGCATTCACTTCTTGTGTCAAAATGCAGTTATTATGGATTTTCTGAAAAACCTCTTTCGTTTATTCAAAACTACCTTGCAAATGGATATCAAAGAGTTCGTCTAACGTCTAAGTCAACAGCACTCTACCGCAAACAAAATTTTTTCGGGTGTATGCAGTATAAAATGTTTTGCATGTATACTCAGATTTTCTATTCATTTAGGAGTAATGACTTGAAAACAGCTAATAACAAAATTAATCAACACCTTGCCTAAATTGAAAAGTTTAGTAATCATAAAGTCATAAAAGAAGCGCTTCAAAAAAGGACATAAACATAAATATAGAAGGTAATATAATAATATATCATTCGAAGGACCTAGGTATTCTAATGCATGGCGGCATAAAATTTGTTGTGCACGTATACTACCTAATTTCTCAGTGCTGCGCTATTCTCAAAGTGTTATTTGGAAATAAGGCTATATTACGTAAATCTGCGAGAAAGCAATGATGTGAATTTTTATGGTTTTCAAAAATTTCATATTGCTTAGTGGTTTACTATTCTCATTAAGGTATTAGAAGAAGAAATCGTATTCAAAGTTTTACGAATACATGTTGCATGCTTGTAAATGACCTCAGAAGATATGATCATATATTGA